GAAGATGAAGTGTCACATCTGCCATAGCCCCCACAATCGCCAGATATCAATATTATTAAGTCTTTGTGGTCTGTTTTGGAGAGCAATCTGCGCGCACGCTATCCATCTCCATCATCGATAACAGAACTTACCATGTTTTTCAGGAAGAATGGTGTAAGATTCCCTTGCAAATCATACAGGACCTCTATTTATCCATTCCAAGGAGACTGCAAGCAGTTCTGCAAGCCAGAGGTTGTCCTACACCATATTAGTCACAGTAATGTGTTTTTTGTTGGGTGTTTATTTTTGTCCATCCTCTGTACATTCAATAACTGAGAAAGTAGTTCCTCCACCTATTCAAAATGTTGTGGGAATCTGCAAGCAGATCACCATTCTCAACCTTCACTAAGTTACTGCTAGGCTGGTGGCCCCTCTTAAAGTCATTTATCCTCTATACAGGTCTTTAATGTTCTTGTTCTTACTGTTCATTGCAAGCTCATCTACTACAGTCATACCTCTTTCATGGTGGTCCATTGTGCATACTATAAAGTTTATAGTACAATCCATGTTGGGCCAACAGTTCACTGTGGGTACCCATTTCAGCAACTTGGCCATTATTTATCACAAATATTACATCAGCATTTTGTATGGTTGAAAGGCGATGTGTAATTGTGATACAAGTGCAGCCCTCTTTCGCTTTGTCCAGCGCTTCTTGAACAACCTAAACCAATTAACACCTTCTTATAATACAATTTTTCTCAAGCATTAATACATCCCACATTTGTGGTGCTACACATTGGGATTCTGTTAATTTTTGTCAATTGCCTTAAAATCTGGTGCAGTCACACACTGACAAGGCATAAATACTACAAAAGAAAGTAAATAAATGAAGAAAAGAGAGAAAAAAACGAGTGCCTGCAAGTATAACATGAAAATAAAAAATGAACAGAAATCAAATACATTTTGGCTTGGAAGTGCAGACAGAAAGTATATTCAGTGCTAATTAAAACGTATCAAATATAGAAGGAAGTCAGTTACCCATCCTCATCACTGTACCTTTTCACTTTCAGTATCAAGTGCTGAAGTTGCTTCATCAAGCAGCAGTATTCTAGGGTTTCTGATCAGTGCTCTTGCAATGGCAATTCTTTGTTTCTGTCCTCCAGACAGCTGCATTCCTTTCTCACCCATAAGGGTATCATATCCCTGTGGACAAACAGACGTTTGATAACACTATAACGGCCTGATAGTTTCTGAAGCAGGAATGGTTCAGAATGAAACCTTTAATTTCACATAAATTCATGTTACGACATTCATGTACATTGCATTAGCCTGCTAATGACAAAAACACATATATTTTTGGCCTTCTTGATTTGGGTATGGACTGTAAATCTGACAGTAGCAAATATAAAATACTGTCTTACTAAAGTTACAGGTAGGAAGCAAGACTTTCTGCCTAATCTGTGTTACAAAAAAAATTAGTTTATAATCTCATCATTTCTATATGTCTATCTTCCATACACATTTTTGAACAAATGGACACAGTTTCATGAGACTTGTCATGAATGTCATCCCACCTTTATATTTTTTAATTTTCTACCACAAAAAGAACCAACATCATTGCTATGTAAGCTTCCAAGATAGGAGTAACATCACCACTTAACATATGGTCTTAGAAAGTGGCATTAATAAAGAACATAAGAAATATGTGACCATGGATGCTGACTGGATGAGGGGCAAGCCAATCACCTGCCTCCTTTCAGAATATTTTAAATGTGGGAAGATGATAAAGAAAGAAATTCATAAAATATTAACACCAAAAAAAAAATTCTTCCACACTACAGCAACTGAAAATTCTTGGGGTGATCTAAAGAATTGTTTCTCATTGGCACAAATGTAACTTTGCTGCAAATTTTCTGGCTGTTCCCACCTTGGAAAAAAATCATTTTGGCAATATTTATGTACTTTACTGTCAAGGTAATTCTTTTAGAATGTAAAAGAAGAACATGGTGGCTACACAACATCTACATTTAGCTATCCATTGGATCATGGTAATTATTGAAATGTGGAGCTAGGCATTTTAAATTTTGCCTGGAGATAGATCATAAACATACATACTCGTACAAGTTTTATACAGAACTTTCTTTTGTACATTAACAGTTACATATGTTACAGTGATGTAGAAAGTGAAGGTTATATGTAACAAATTAAATGGAAATCATTACAAAATGTATCACCAAATTCATATTATATAATCATTCAGTTATAGTTCATGTTACTTCATCATACTGATTGAAGCACCTGAAGGAAATTATGGATAATGAGTTCCTTTAAACACTTCTTGTCATGCTATTACTATCATATTGCACATACCTACCTTAAGACAGTTACAGTAATATAATATACACATAGAATAAATGAGAACTTACCAATGGCAAAGTAGTTATGAAGCTGTGTATACTGGCTTTTTTGGCAGCTTCAATAATTTCTGACATCGGAACTGTTCGGCTGTTGTCTCCATATGCTATATTCTCAGCTATTGTTCTATCAAACAACACTGGTTCTTGTGATACAATACCAAGTTGAAACCTTAGTGAACATGTGGTTAGTGATGACACATCATGCTCATCAATATACTGTAAACATGAAACACAAACTTCTTAATTTCTTCATACAAAGTCTGTGATCTCTACAGACAACACAATGAACAGCAATTTACTATTTAGCTGGCTTTCCAGTTTGCATCAGTTAATTTTCATCTTCTTCTTACTGTATTGGTGGCATATCCAACTGCAGTAATTTTCAAGGAATATGTTGTGCGATCAGTTAGTTTCTGTACTGGCCATAATATGACAGCTTTATAGTTCAGGAAAATAAAAACTCTGCTAGAATGAACAGCAACAGAAATCTACAAAAGCATTAACATTTGCTTCAGAAGGGAAACAGTTATCAGAACTCAATATCTGATTCTTTTTCCAAGTTCAGAGGTGGCATGAGTCATGGAACATTTCCATGAAAACAGATGTATCACTAACACTGATGAGGCTAATGAAGTGATTCTCAACTGAATCATGCCAAAACGTTTTGACACAAGGTCTAACATGTGGCGGAGTGCCAGCAAACTCATGCCTTGTCTGCAAACTGGCGAGCAAAAGCTGAAATATTAAATTTGTGGCTCACATCAGTGTGACTGGTGTTCTGCACCCTCTACATTTCCCAATTCCAGTGCTGTGTGACTATTGCACTGAAGGTAGGAGATCTCATGGAATCATCATGATTCAAGAACAATTACAGGCTGCATTTATCAAGTTAAAAACACAGGAGTTCCTCAAATGCTACCAATGATGGTGCAATATCTGACTAGCTGCCTCAAACTGCAAGGGGCATGCTTCGTAGGAATGGAATAGTGGGGTAAATACAGTTATCGAAGAGAAAACAATATAATACATAAATTATCTGATTACACCGCATATCACTTTATCACCTTCAATAAAAATTCTGTCCAACACTTCCTCTAAAAGTTAACCCCGTATATAGATGAAATCACTGGAAATCATCAGTATCAATTCTGACTTCACTGATCAACTACTGAACATGTTGTATAAAGGATTATTAACGCCATCCAGTATGACTGATAAATGTTGTGTTTTTATTTTTTTAATTTTTCATCCTTTACATGTTTCAGTTGGAGCTACCATCTTCAGAAGGACATTATCAATATGTACATACATATATCTGTATGTACTGATAATGTTCTTCTGAAGATGGTTGCTCTGACTAAAACATGTAAAGGATGAAAGATTAAAAAAATTATCAATCACATTGCACAGCACTAATAATCTTTTATACTATTACTAGTGTGACAGACCAGGATGAACCAAGTCAAATTTATGAACAGGTGTTCCACATCTGTCCAGGACACCTATGAGTCAGAAGAGAAGTGCTGTACAACATTCTCACAGTCAACTCCATTAGTATGCTAATTAAAGTGTGTTTTAAAAAACCTATTGTAAAATAAATTCAGGTGAACCTACATCTCTACAGTTCTTATTCAGAAATATCTGAAACAAGGAGATGACTTTTTACCACTGCTATTTTCCTTTTTCTCTCAGGTTTGTTCTAAGGCCTTTAGGAAAGTCCAAGAAAATCACGAGGGGCTTGAACTGAATAGAATACAATAATTTTTTATCTATGGTGATGGTGACAAATTAATTAAGTACACACATACTCCCATACATACATGCCACAAAGTAAAATAGAGAAACTCTGTTACACCCTATATTAAGGGCACAGAAAGAAGTGAATGAACCCTCCTTCTCCCCAACTCCCTCAAGTTTTATGCTTCCCCACCAGCATGCTTCCCATATTCTCCTCCGGTCATCTAACCATTATGTTCACAAGAGAGTTGGTAAAAATAGGTTGTGCCAGTGACAAGTATGTTGGACAGACTGACACAGCCCAAACAGGGCTGTAGGAGATTACAAAAGCAGACAAAGAGAAGAAACCCACATAAGCTTGTAACCCCCATCTTTTGTGGGTGTTCTTTCCATGGTCTTAGTACAGAAAGGAGGTTGTTCTAGAAGTAAATGCAAAGAAAACTATGTATATGAACGTCCTCTGACTAGAATGCATGACATAAATATAGCCAAAATAGTCCCAAAAAGAGGGAGATAACACTTACACAGGAGTTATGAGTGGGTTAAATTCAAGGAATTCATGCTAGCATTTAGTTCAGGTCATTTTACCTTCCAAAAAATCTAAAGATTAAAATGAAAAAATTACAACTTCATGTGTTTTGAATAACTGTGAAATTCAGTCGCTCTCGCTGTAGGACAATCATAGACAGGGAATCTGAGAATAGTGTGTTATGAATATTTAGAACAAAGAGAGAGAAATAATACTGCATAATGAGAAGCTTCATAATTTGTGTTAGGACTCCCATATCACGGAGAAAGACATTGGTGGGACATGTAGCACACATGAGAGACAGAACAGAGCCATACAAACTTTCAGTTGGAAAACTTGAAGGGACTTGGACACCTATATATAAAAGGAGGATATTATTAAATGGGTCTTCAAGGAATAAGGTGTGGGCTGGATTCAGCTGACTCAGAACGGGGTCAATTTGCAGCCCTAGCTTCCATAAAAGACAGGATAATTATTAATCACCTGAGCAACTATCACCTTTTTCAAAGATTACTTGAAAAAAAAATAGTATGCCAGATTTTGCAAAGTGCTTTGAAGATGAAGAATGGCTGTAGAAACTAACCTACTAAGCCAACATTTTTCATCATATGAACCAGATGAACAAGTCTCTACAAGGCCCAGAAAAAATGATTTCACATCAAATGACAAGATTCATGGATTTAAAAGGAAACTGAATCTTTGGAAAAAATCATGTTGTGAAAGGAAATCTCGAAAAGTTTCCACTGCTGCTGGGGCTTGAGAGTAAAGGATATCTGCAAGACTTGAGTCTAACTGAAAACCACCTTGAAGAAATGCAGAACAAAATTAAACATAATTTCCCCGCTCTTTCAACACAAGTGTATGACTGGGTGAGGAACCCTTGCTCTGAATCATATGCTCAGCCTGGGAACTTGAGTTCAAGAGAAGAGGAAGAGCTTTGTTAGCTGCAGTCTGATCATGCACTCAAGATGAGATTTACTGACCTATCCCTGGACATGTTCTGGATTGCTGTGAAAGATGAGTATCGTGCCATTCACAGGAAAGTAATATACATACTACTGCAGTATTCGACTTGTTACATATGTGAGCAAGCTTTTTATTGTTTAACAAGCATCAAGAGCGAAGATAGAAATCTTCTCACTTCAGCAGAAGATTAACTCTGTGTCAGCTTATCTAAAGTTTGATCTGGAATGAAGTATTAGTGCAGCAGAAAACAAGCACATGTATCAGATTAAAGAACTAAATTTCATTCACTATTTTAGTTTAAAAAATAGCAATGTGTTATATGATACTGTGATGGATTTGCTCAAAGCATTAGACGAACACACAACAATAGGAGTGGTGCTCTCTTTGGGTACATGCTGCAATGATTGTTAGGCAGCAGCCAGTGCACCAATGGACTGGCTGTGTAGCTATCACGTGTGAAGTCTAACAGGCATGCGGGCAACAACAGAAGAGCTGTGTTTTCTGTGCATGGTCCGTGCCGAGAGAATACAAGATTCAGCATGGTTCAGTTCAAGTAGCTGTCAGGAGGATATAGCCATGGAAAGTTAGTAGGTGAAAAAGAATTAAAAGTCAACGTGAGAAGACTTAGTGTGTGGCTTCACATGTGCTGCATTCACTGGGATTGGTAATGTGTGTGATTTAGTGAAACTTTTATAGTTCTGGTGCCATAAATCCTTTGCCAGGAAATGAATAGTGAAGACTAGTGGAAATAGGCAGAGAAGACTAGCATGGAATGATCTGTAAAGTGCAAATCTGCAACAATGTAATAATTATTTGTAGCTACAACCTCTAAGTGGTCAATAAATCTGATTACCAATATAAACCCCGTCTATAGTAACCAATACATGTGACAATATTTTTGTTCATATTGCTTTGACTTATACTTACGGCTTTCACTAACCTTAATATTCAACACTGGCAATACATTTTCATGCTGTACACAGCACTAATTAAGATCAATTTACAACCTTTATTACATCAAATCCAGAGCCTACCTTTACAAATAAATATAAATAAAGCTATCCCTGTAACACACCAAGAAGGCCCATAAAATTTTGAGATGTCGAGTCTCCCACACTTTCTAGACAATTGCTCACAGATGGCTGTGGTTGTCAGCCTTACACACCAGCTGCCCTTTACCTCCAGGAAGATTCCTGGTACTCATTTATAATAGTTTTTATGCAGGGATTCCCTGAAACCTGAAAATTATTTCAAGGATTCCTCCAAGGTAAAAAGGTTGAGAAAGGCTGGTCTGAACCAGTACTTATTTGCAGTGTTAAAGTTACTTGGGGATGAGGCAATCTGTTTCTGCAGTACTGTACAGTGTGATGATATGGTGCACTTGGTCTTACAGCACAGTATCATTCAGCTCAAATACATTCACTGTTAAATTTGTGGGCCCACTAACATACACAATCTTTCGATAAATATAACCTTAATTCTGTGATAAATATGTATCCAAGCTCACTTACGCATGTGCACATAAGTTGCAGAAGATCAATATACAGAATTTAAATAATCTGTGACTCATAAGCATGCTACATTAAAACAAATCTGTTTTTGTTTGAATTACTCTTATATATACATCTGAACAATGACTCACCACACAGCCCGAGTCAGGATCATAAAATCTTTCCAGGAGCTGTATGCAAGTTGACTTTCCACAACCACTTTTTCCAACTATGGCCACAGTTTGACCCTCCAGCACATCAGCATTTAAACCTTGAAGAACCATGATGTTGGGCCTTGTTGGATAGAAGAATTTTACCTGCTGGTATTTCACATTACCATTTGCTGTCTGTCAGAGGAATAATAAACACTGTTTAAATTTCATGTACATTATTTATGACATATAATTTTATATAAGAATGGAAATTCATGATTCCTGCAGTCCATGAGAATATCTCCCAGACTAGAAGTGTCCTGCTTTAATTTACTTTGAGGAATGACAGTATATGTTTTGAAATTCGTGATTCTATTTACATAAAATGGCACCCCACTGTGGAAGTCTTTTCTGCAAATGTTTTGGAGAAATTAGCACTCGTCATCTTCAGAACTTATTTTCAGTTACAAGGTACTACAGTAACTGAGCAGTCTTCCCTTGCTCGGATGCCAGAACTGTGGGTTCAAATCCCACACAAGGCAAGGATGTTTGGTGTGTGTATGCATTTATTCTGTGTTTTGTGTTGTCCTGTGTTTAGGTAGAGGCCTTGCAATGAACTGATCACCTGTCCAAGGAGTCCTACTGTCTAAAAAAATGATGAATAAAACTGAGAAATCAGCCCTCTGCTCCAAAGTGGGAGTGAGGGGAGAAAAAATGTACAGTACTCTAAAAATGACATCTAGGTTTGCTGTCTGCCATTTATACCTGGAAATAAGAGATGTTAATTTCTCCAAAACACTGGCAAACATCACAACATGTTATCAAAACTTAAGAAATTAAAATATATCTGCCTCAACAAACCACTGTAACACCCTCAAATTTCAACTACATATTTTTCCTTGATGTTAATAAGAGTTTAATAATATTAATTGGTTTAGTAGCCTACTTACCCACTTCCGTTCATTGACTTGTGGAGGATCATGGATTTGAGGTTTCCTGTCCAGAATATGAAAGATCCGAGAAGCTGCGGACATTCCTTTCTGGAAGTTGGGAGCAAAGCCCATGGCAATGGCTAGTAACATTGTGCCCATGATCAATGCCTGTCCTACTCTATATTAAGTGAAAACAAACAGTATATAAAATCAGTAATTTAACATAAACATAGTAATTTTTCAAAGTAGTAGCTACATTTGCATATCATAGGAACGATTTGAACTGGGGAACCTTGACACAGAGCAGGCAGATAGTTCGCATATGCACTCTCTTCAAAGCGTACACAGGAGAATGGGCTTGGTAGACTATAGGTGATATATTACAAAGGCCATGCTATCTGAGTAGGGGAGATCATAACAAGAAAATTAGGAGCAGAAAGCAATGGACAGATATCAGAAAACACTCCTTTGTAAATAGGATCATACAGATCTGGAACTAACTACCTTCAGATGCTTTAGGGACTCTCTCCTGCAAAGCAAGTAATTTTAGGAAAAGGGTTAAGAACGTGATAAATGAGACAAAGCAAAGGTGGGGTGGAAATCTGAAAAAAAAAATGCAGTAAAATGAAGTGAATTGAAGTGAAAAGTGTTACGGCTGGAAGGATTACGTAAGTGTAGTAAAGTGAAATGAAGGGGAAATGAGAACATGACATTACGCATTCATTGCTGTTAGTTTATTATATATTATGTTAATTTTCTACTGATGTTGTGTTTTTCTACTGATGCTTGTGTGCTGTGTTTTGTCTGAACGTGTTTATGTGTGTTATTTGCCTGCTGTCTTATTTTAGTAATGTGTGTTATTTGTTTGTCTTATTGTAGTACCACTGCCACTGGGTGAAAACCCATTGGCAGTTAAATAATAACAAAACAACAACAACAACAACAACAACAACAATAACAATAACAATAATAATAATAATAATAATAATTTCATGTTTTTAATGGTACATCTTATAACCAATTTTCAGTACCCTTCCCTTGGAGACGTTACTTTCTCACCATAATGTGTATATATTAACCGTCTTTCAGTGCATAGTTTCACTTGTCACTTCACACTACATGTTTCGGCATCATTCTGCCATCCTCAGGTGTATTAATCATGTTAAACCACTGCACTGCCTGCCATCAAGTGTCCATTTATAAAATGATATAAAATGGGTGTTCAGCGTTGTTCAATAATAAAAGTTATATTGTGATGTATTTGAGCTATGCAGGACACCCCCTCCCCTGCCACCGGTGACGTAACACCTTCAGAGAGTTGCTGCTGCTACGATAACAATCCAGTCACCACCCTGCCCCTCACGCGGTGATGTTACCAAGGGATGCCACAGTTGCTACAGAGCAGTTAACAACTCTCAACAGTGTTGCTAGGCAACCTGTAAACACGACGGTACTAAACAGCGGTACCCATTATGTAACCGTTTTCTGTGTTGTCCGTACCAAGGTTAATAAGTAGCAGAGAACACTATTCAGGAGTCGAGTTTCAATGTAGCGATCGCTGAGTTCAGTGATTATTGAGCCAGTTACTAGTGAGTGAGTTACTAGAGAGAGAGTAACCAGTCAATTGCTGTCTATCTTTCGCCGGAGTATTTGTGATACTGCGAATGGCAGTAATGTTGAGATTGTAAACTGTGTGATTGTAAGAGCGAGTGGAATAAATTCGCTATCTCAAATAAGGCTTGAAGTTATTTGTCGCATTATACACCCAACACGTGAGACTTTATTAAAACTTGTTAAGATCTATAGATCTTAAAAAGTTTTAATATATAAATTTTATTATTGAACAACGATGAAGACACATTTTATATCATTTTATAAATGGACACTTGATGGCAGGCAGTGCAGTGGTTTAACATGATTAATACACCTGAGGATGGCAGAATGATGCCGAAACATGTAGTGTGAAGTGACAAGTGAAACTATGTGCACTAAAAGACGGTTAATACATACACATTATGGATATGAATCAGTGCAACAGGACGCTAAAATACAACATTACTTTCTAACATCAACATGTCCTGAATTACATGTGTCCCCATTAACCACCTGCCCATTTTTCACCGATTTTGAATAAATCATACAACTGAACTATCATGTGTCAAGTTTTATCAACAAATGTGAAAGAGGGCTGAAATATATATAAGAATTTCATTAGACTCTTAAGTGAAATAGTCATTATGATTAAATCAAAATACTCATAGATATGACTTGGCAAAAGTGAGTGTAAGTCAATCACACTGAATGACTGAAACTGGTCACATGATTTGGACAGTGTTACTTGCAGTCCGTTGGACATGACAGACATAATGAAAGTGGTTTCTGATTTTTTAAGGGCACTTATTCAATTTCAACTCCCAGTGTTTATGCCCTTATGGATACATCTATCAAAGACACTACCCCACATGAACAACGAAAATGAAACTGGAAATTAAATAAAACATTTACTTACTTCAAAATAGTGTCAAAGGTAAGATCATTTTCAACCATAAGTATTCCACCATAGAACAAGGTTGCAGAATTCGCAAAGAACAATATACTTTGGGCCAATCCAAACACAAATGCTCGTATAAGAGTGTTCCATAGTGGTATTTTATGAGCTTGAAGTAATGCCAACATGTATCGCTGGTGGAATGTCTGTTCTAGTCCCAGACTCACAACAGTATGAATGTTACTAACTGCTTCTACTGCAAGCTGAAATTGAATTAATTACATAATTATCGTACTGAGATAGCTTTCCATATTAAAATGTATACACACTACAGAGGTGAACATAGAACTTCTAGTACAACAGTTTAATAAGATTAAAATTAATAATCATGGGACTCCTGAGATTGAAGTGTTTCATGGTTAAGTAACTCAAGAATTTGATAGTTTTACAATTATCATGCTTTTCTGACACCTGACCACACAAGCATCAGTTCTAGTCCAGGCCCAATCTTCCATGGCTGAATTTATGTTGAGTCCAATAATTATGTTTTCTTAATCATTCATTAATACTAACAATGCAAGTGGCTCAAATAAAAGAACACATACAAATCTCGTTATAAATTTAAATTAGAAATTTTAAAGCATGTTGGCAAGGGTGACGTTTATGCTGAAACTGCACTATACATCACTGAGAATGTTTCCTTCCATTGTCAGTACTTAAGTGTTAACTCACTCCATTGAGCCAAGTCCCTGAGGAGAAAACAACCACTCAGGGAATCAAGGATTTCCCAACATTTTATGGAACCTCAGGGTTTGTTATGATGTTCACAAAAGCACATAATTGCTATCCTCAGCCAGATGAATCCATTCCATACTACCCCATCCTATTTCTCTACAACACACTTTAATAGTATCCTCCCACCTATATCCAGGCGTTCTAGTGGTTCTTTCTTAACAGTCAACAGCTAGAAGAAGCAGTTTCGGTATCTGCTGCCAAGATTAGTTCATCTACTTCCTCAACCAATAGCCACTTTTCTTCCAAGTACAATAAGTCCTGGTTTAACACTGTTGCTACGTTCTCATAAACCACAATGTTATGTGAAACACCATGAAGCAGATCAGTTCCTATAGTAGGAAACTTAAGAAATAAGTAGGTTATGTTCCTCAGCTTTTCTTCACGCCCATAACATGCATCTCAATATAGATAATAAGAATGTGATTGTAAATATTTGTATATTCTTGGCTATAAGCACAAACTACAACAATGTCCAGTCCCTCTTTTATACGACTGAATGACAGAGATATGCGCTTTGCTGTCAAAGTTCTGGGGACCACAAAACCATTTTCATAATCACAGCCTTCTTCTGCTTCCTCAACAATAATTCCATATCACTAGTGACATTTGAAGGACTATATAATAGTGAGTTAACACAGCATTATATGGGGCCTTGATATGAAAATAGGACAAATATACTCCTAATAATGGAACAACATTGACTGGGACAATGTTAAGCGAGGAAATGCAGACAAATGATTTTTAATTAAATCCCTGCTTTAAACTTCAGTTTGTTTTTCTGTGTTAATTATTTAGCATTACATTAATACTGCAATAAATCAGCTGGGGTGTGAAACTGACTACTCTTTAGTGCCATGTATACAAAATGGATGAAAGAATGTAAAGTATTAATGTTACCAATTACAGCTGTAAAATTACTTTTTAACCCTTTCACTGTCATGGATGAAACAATTCCATCTTACCAAAAATCAATATAAATATTATGGGTGAAAATGTTATGTCAGATATAGACTGCTGTAACATTAATATTCTGTAGCAAAAAGGGAAATGTAAGAAATTATTGTCTTAAATACACTGAGTTTAGAAGTTACAAATAAATATTTGTTTTATGTATATAAGGGATATATTTTATGAATGTTTGATGGAAGTAGGATGAATAACATAACATAACATTGCATTGCATTCCACGGATTCAAAGTTAGTCAAAATGACTGTAGGATGTATGACACAAACTCCGTCCTAAGTGCAACAATTTATTGTAGTTCTTTTGTCTTCTTTTCTTCTACTCTACATGTTTCGGCCATAAATGGCCATCATCAGGTGTATTTCTCTCACATAGCTATTACACTGCATGTAGTTTAAAATTTAAAAACACCGGCTTTCTTAATTGTTCATTTCTCCATTGTTTATAGGTCCTGATATATCAGAATCCCCTTGCTGATATTTGTCAGATATGTATAAAATCTTTGTTAATTTACATACATCAATTTGATTTTGAATGTTGGTATTTTTAAAATCTTCAATTTAAATTTTTTTAAAAATTTTTTAAATACTGCTCCTGCTATCTACATACAGACGCCTTTTATGTTTACAAGATATTTTTAATCTTTGTGTAATCCAGTGGTTTTTTATTCTACTTACATTTTTATTCTGCATAGGAAAACTGGCTTCAAAGATATTTAGAAAAATATATAAAAAAGAGTTACCCTTATAATTTGTATCCTTATTTTTGAAAACAGCTTCCCACATTTCATTTTCCTGGTTGTCTGTTACAAGGGTGTTGAATTTACTTCTGCAATATTATTTACTGTAAGAAATTGAGCACCATGGTCAGAGAGGCCGTTGACTGTACGAGATGTACAAGAAGAGCTTAACCTGGCATTATCTATAAAAAATATTATCAATGGCTGTACTTGAGGAATTTTGAACTTTTGTTGCAAAATTCACTGTGTGTGACAGATTTTATGTCCTTAGTAAAGAGTTTACTTGTTTTTTCTGACTGCTTTCATTTAAGTAGTTTATGTTTATGTCTCCACAGATTATAAACTCAGACTTTAGATTGTACAGATATTTTAAAGTTGCATCTAGTCTCGTTAGAAATTCATTAACCTCTCCTGAAGGGGCTCTGTACAGGCTTAATACAATTAGGTGAGATGTTTCAGTTACTAGCAGTGTTGCACAGATTTCAAAGTCTTGCTCCTTATAGTGATGAGAAATATCAATTTCAGTAAAACATATATCTGTCTTAACAAAATACACACTCCTCCCCTCTGTAGGCACTTTCAGCAAAAGTTTGTGCCTAACAGGTAACTATTCACTGAGAGGTGCAGCAATTCCTGTTCAACCATGTGATGGTCGCTTAAACATAATATGTGAGGGTATATGTTGTCTATTTCAAAAGAGTGTAGTAATTCATCACTTTTGCTTCTCAAGCCTCTGATATTTTGGTGAAAGATATTTATTGAATTTAATGTTCCTGCATTTTGTCTGTGAATTTCCAAGAATGCTAGACAGCATTTAATATATGTTAGGCATCTTGGTGCTTTTGAATTTAATCTAAAAAAGGAGACACACTAGCATCGGTTATAATAGGAATACCGCTTATACCTGAATACTTGACGCATGACCACCAACAACCTTCTCAGCAATAAGCTGCGTGAGCCTCTCCTTGCTTCGAGAGCAATATTGGCTAACACAGGAAACTCTTACTTTTCCATTATGAGTTAAAGGTGTAATACCTACACCAGTTCTCATACTACTGCATGTGGTGTGGCACCACTTTCATTTGACTGCATCTAATACATTACTAACCTCAGTGAACTTCTCCAGTGCTTGTTGATTGCTGAAAATTTCACCTCTGGAAATTCTCAAGAAAAAATACTGTGCCAACAAAATGACAGGAGTGAAAAATATTGTAACTAGGCCAAGACGCCAATCAAAGTAAATGGCGAGACCTATTCCCCACCCAACTGTCATTATGGACTGCAACACTATCCCCACACGCTGACCTGTGGCCTGTAAACAGGAAAAAAAAAAGATAAGAAAAGAAATAGCATATTAAAATTAACAGATAAGCATGATCAGCACTGTTGTATGGGACATTCTGATTTACATGCAAGAGCAGCCTGCCCAGTGACTTTTCTGTTGTAATAATCCTGCGACGCTGTCCTTCAATTCTGTCAGTATGGAGCTCCAGGAACTGGATTCCCACAGAAATACAGATATCAACTGACACATCAACCAAACATCATACTGTATTTCACACTCCAAATAATCTCACCAGCTTCAGACAGACCAAACCTAAACCCAAAACTTACATGACATGTCTTATGATGGATAAAGGGACAATAGGCTGCAACAGTAGGATGTGGAAAATTTCTGCATTATGTGAGGTTCAGTGAGTATGTAGGGTATACTATCTTCTGGCATGTGATACCATGTAGTATAGTGTAAGTTAAGTAATATTTTGGAGGATTGCACTGCTTCCCTCCTCCTCTTCAACCCTGAATATGGAGGTGGCACGTTCTTCCTAACTATCGATAATTTCTACCAGACTACATGGCGTCACAACCAAGAAGACAGTACTCTTCTATAACACTAGTTCAACATAAAAAAATGCTTTCATAATTATATACAGAGTGGAGCAGAGGAAACGCATGTTTTTCGCATAAGAATAACTTGTTAATTTTCAAGATAAAACCTTTTTAATTACACAAAGAAGGTATTTTAATGCATTTTAAACTTACATTACGTACAGAAAATAATGTCAGTGAGATGACGTCCTTCTTGCTGGACACACATTTGGAGCCTCTCCTCAAAAGTCTGCATCACATTCTCCAACATGTCTTCTGGCACAGCTTGACGAATGGAAAGTTACAGCATCGTTCGTGGTCTGTTCGTGTACACTCTTGCCTTGAGGTATCCCCACAAAAAAGTCACAAACTGATAGAAGAGGGGAGCACAGGGGCAGTTACTGCACTGCAGTTAAGTGACTTCGGTGCGCTACACTGACATGTTAAACAACTTCCTGTGTCCAGAACTCCTAAGGCGTTGGGTAAACATGAGACATATGTGGTTCCAACAGGATAGTGCCACAGCTCACACAGCGAGAGCATCGATGGAAGTTGTTTGATGCATGTTCCCTAACATGTGATTGCCCGTTTCAGTGATGTTTCTTGGCTCCGCACTCCCCTGATCTATCGGTTTGTGACTTTTTTTGTGGGATACCTCAAGGCAAGAGTGTACACGAACAGACCACAAATGAGCCAAGAGCTTAAGTTTCCATTCGTCAAGGAATCGCAGCTGTGCCGGATGACATGTTGGAGAATGCGATGCAGACTTTTGAGGAGAGGCTCAAATGTGTGTCCAGCAAGAAGGATGTCATCTGACTGACATTATTTTCTGTACATAATGTAAGTTAAAAATGCATTAAGATATCTTCTTTTTTGTGTAATTAAAAATTTTATATCTTGAGAATCAACATAGTTATTCTTATGTGAAAAACATGCATTTCCTCTGCTCCACCCCATACTACGTAATTTTTAAAGATTCATGATGTTTATATATACCAATGAATCACACACAATGTTTATAATGAAGATGTGTCAATTCTTACATGAAATCCATTTGGACCAGCTGAGTCCTGAAAGCCATAAGACCTTCCTAGCCAGATTACCAAGCTTTTGGAGGAAGTGAAAATGGGAAGAAATACTCAACACTTATATTCAAGCAGTATCCTGTGACATATGTGGTAAGTTATTAAATGCATATTTACTCACACCTTGCACACTTGAGGCATCCCCTGAGAGACGAGCACAGAGTGAACCTGAGAGGTTAGACTTCTTATCAAACCATGCAACCTCCTGACGGACCATCGACTCAAACAGCTCCTCACGGAGTCGCATTGTCAGTTTCTCACCTGCTATTCCATATGCATAATTCTAAAATAATGAACAAAGTTATTAATATGAAACAAAATATAAACATGGAAATCAAGCCTCTAACAGGGGAACTGAAAATTCAACAGTTCTAAAACCAAGGCCTGTAATTATGTATGATCCTGAGCAATTTAACTCCAGTTTACATCATCATAACTTATTTCTCTAAGATTCATTTTAATAATATCACACAACTTCCTTCTCTGGCTTCATGAAGAGCTTTCCAAGCAGTTCCATTTATGAAGATTCCATACACACACAATTTGCCACATCTTATATACATGTCCAGCTCACATAACATTCTTGGCTCAACTGGAAGACCAGAATAAATCACTAAGTTTCCTATTACCAGGTATGTGATTACATATGAGTTCCAGTGTTTGTTACTTCACCACTTTTGGGTTAATATACTTTTCTCAGTGCTTTGTTTTTTAATGCTTATGATCGTGTTTACAGCTGAAGTAGCCTGATATGGCAAGTGCAGAAGTGCAAATTACAATTTTGCTATACCACTGCAGTTAGCAAAGAGCCAGAAAATTTACACTGCATAACAACAACAACAACAACAACAACAACAACAACAACAACAACAATAATAATAATAATAATTTTATTCAGCATTAAAATTGGAGAGGGGAGGGTATTCTATGGATTTAAGTATAAAGGGAAAAAGACTAATAATAAGCATTTTTTTGTGGTTTATTTTATGATGCCAGTACCTCAGATTAATGCTGAAGAGTAAATTATTGGTGAATAATGAATTTTAAAGGACTTTGGAAGGAACTGGAGGAACCATTTTGGCATTTCCTTGGTTGGCCTGAGGAAAGCCACAGATAATCTCAGGCAGCATGGCCAGTGTCCTGGGAGAGGTTTCAAACAAATATATCCTGAATACAGTGTCACTGCTACACCAACAGACTTAGATAAGCACACTACGTGATACTGTAATAATATAATGTTATACTGCAACAGAATGAACCCTGTAAACTACTTTCCTGAAGTGGAATACTGTTACAGAGCACTCAGTACTGACTGGTTCACCATTATACTCAATTCTGTCTGACTGAAACTGGTAACAGTACAGTATGTCGATGTGACGTGCCTGATTACAAACTCAGATATCTTTCATAACAATGACATTTTGCTGACTTACTTGCAGAAAGGTAGCAAAACCAACAGAAACACCAGCTATAAAAAAATACAAGCTATATCGATCTGTTTCAGCACGTACTTCTTGGTCAACCGGACTGGACATCACCTATAAACATAACATGTATGAGATCTCAGAGAGCACTAAAAATTTGTTAAGGTAAAGTAAGTAGAACAAATGAAGAGAGATCAGCAGTCCCTAAACGTATAGTCAGAATGTGAAGGTGACATCTCCATCTGATTGCAAAGGTCTACAGATTATATGCAATTAAGAAATGAGTACTGTCTTAATTTCGATTACTTACCCTTAAAATATCTCCAAAAAGAATAACAAAAATGGGTGTAGCAGAGCTCACGATGATAGATGCAAGACTTCCCATGAGCAACTGCGGCCATTCGGGCATGTTCTTCTTTAGAATCCTTATCATAGAGACAGGTGGAGAAGGTTCTTCTTCATTATCTTCAATCACTGCTGGCCTCTCATCTTTATGAATGCTGAAGTCAGATCCAGCAGAATTTCCTCTCCCAGGAATCAACACCTGGCAAAGACTGTGCACCCTGCCTGCACAGTACACATCAGACATTATAAATCTCCAAAAAGAAAAAAGTCTGTGCAGGACTAGCAAAATTATTACATTACATCCCAGCACCTCAGCTACCAACTCAATGTAGTGATGACAAACAACTACAGGATGAAAGTTTGTTAGTTATACTCTTCTATTATGTTATATCAAGGGCTAAAGTTATGTAATGTCAAATAATAAATGAGAGAAATGGGGATATCAAAACAAAGACCAACAAATACTGTACAATATCAAAGGTGTATTAACTTATGAAGCAGAATGCAGGCCATTAAAGCCCAGAAATAAAGTTAAGTTTATATCAGGTGCAACATGAAGCACTAAAAAAGAAAGAAATAAAAAATGAAAGAAGTAAAATAAGATATTTTGCAGGAGAGAAAATAAATTTCTGTTGTGGTATGGATATATAGAAAGAATGGGATAACATAAATAGTAAAAAGAATTCACCAGATATCAAATGAAAGTATGCAAGGATGAAATCAGAAACATGCTAAGTAGTTACAAAGAATTATACAAATAGATAAGGAGACTGAATGATTGATAACAGGAGTATGGAAACATGGAAGCTATGAAAATGGAAAAACCCCACACAGAAGAAAAAACAAATGGGTTACTTGGGCAGGAGAGCAATACAGTCACCAGAGTTTAAGTACAATATTTCTCCCCAAGGAAAAATACAATGCCTTTTACACTTCATATTATACGTTTTATATGACTGACCTTCAGACTCTTCATTCTCGTTTTCCATGTCATCAACTATATTTAGTTGCTGGGCACTGACCAGTGCATGGTAGTGTCCTTTCAGAGATAGCAGTTCCTTGTGTGTCCCTTGCTCTACAACTTTCCCATTTGAAATGACCACAATCTTGTCTGCTGTCATGATTGTTGACAGGCGGTGGGCAATAATAACTGTTGTCCGATATCTGCTTGCCTGTGTGAACAGAGATGCAAGGAGCTACACTAATTTCTATAATAAATTAACTATGAACGAGCATGCCGTAAAAGCACTCTTCTCACAGAAGGCCAAAGAAAAAAACATCCATATGGCTCACACTCGATGCAGCAGATTTATTTGAATTGAGGTAAACATGTTTATAATGACATTTATTAAAGACTAACAGCATGAGAGAAAATTGTACTAAAATTATGAAACTAAGAGCTGCTTCATTCCTGAAGCAGTAATTTGTTAAATTACAAGAAGTTCTAGAAAGAACTAACCACCTCCATTCCTTTCACTTAAAATTTAGAATTTGATAATCAAATCTGAGAGGTTGTAGTGTTGATACTATTGATGAGATGGATTTAAGTGCGCTGCTGAGATGGCCTCAGGTGGCATGATATACCTACAAAGTTTCATGATGATCAGTTCAGGCATTCACATAATATTAAGGTTATTACCACAACAATTTGAAAGGTTGCAAAGTTAGTAATACTGAAGAAAGGGATTTGTGAAGTACACCATTGAGATGGCTTTATGTGGCATGATGTACATACAAAGTTTTATGAAGATCGGTGCAGGTGTTCAAACAACATTAATGTTCTGCCGCAGAAATTTGAGAGGCTGTAATGCTGGTATTACTGTCATGAGGGATTTACGAATAATGCAATGAGATAGGCTCAAAAGCCATGATATACACACCAAGTTTCATAATGACTGGTTCAAGCATTCAAAAGTTGTTATGGGGAATATGCATACAGACAGAGAGACAACAAGGTCATTTCATAAGCCTACACTTATGTTTTAAAAATAAGGAAAGTAGGCTAAATAGGAATCTTCACTACACAGATTTAAGTTTCTTGCTATTACAGTGCTGGTGACCAGGCATAAATTTCGTGGCAATGGAACTAATACTGTAGACCAGGAATGTCCAACGTGTTGATCACGGGACGATTTTTGGTCAATCTCATAGGCCTATAAGGAAATTATACGTGAAAATCACGTAAATTCACTTGTAATATAATATGATTATATTCAGATTTCAAGGAAAAATACGTATTAGTCATTCCTATTTTTCTCCACTTTCAATGTATGTTGCTTTTACAACATGTACATCATGTGTCATGTTATTTTTACCAGTATTTTTGCTCAAAGCGAGGTACGACGATAGGAGGGGGTGGTAGATCACTGGCAGTTTTGACATTAAAAAGTCGATCACAACCTGTTTGAAGTTGGACATGCCTGCTGTAGACAATGCAACATTAAGTCTGCTGGGGCCTTATGAACTAGTGGATATGCCAGCACAGACAATTGATGCATGAACAATACAGGTAAATTTTTGTTGCTCTTTTGTTCATATTGTTACCACTGATTCGAAGCAAAATGTTACAGCAAAAATAATGAACATATCAACTGAGGCAATAGACGAAGAACTATAACTAGAGAATGAGTTTGCAACTGCCCTTGAGGATGCCAAACAGATGGCTGTATATCTTGATACTGAGCCTGTTATTCTTTTCTCCCAGAAGATATATCCAATCTATTGAATTGAATTGAATTGAATTGAATTGAATTTGCAAAGTGGATATTCATGAGGGAACAAAAAGTAGACTTTATCTTCAAAATTAAAAAGAATCAAAATTACTTGAGGGCATACATGTCCCAAGAGAGGATCTCTAGACTTGCAACAATCTCAGCTGAGTATAAAGTTGCAACAAAAAACTGAGACAGCTTTCTGTTTGGTTCCTGGTTTAACCACTCCAATTTCATGTCCTTCTTCCTCTACTACACGACATGTTTTGGTCTCAAAAGGACCACTGTCAGATGTGTATGTTGTTGCATGTAAATTGTTACACTGTTGACACACTGATCCTATGCTATGTGCCATGATACTGAGATAAATACATTTCCATTCCACTGAAGATTCTGCCATTTACAGACATTTTGTTAATAAGCTAAAAAGAAAAGGTAAAGTTATCCCTGTAAAAGGCCATGGAGGCCCGCAGGATTGTGAGACGTTGAGGCTCCCGCATTTTCTAGACAATCAGCTTACATATAACGGTGAGGCTGTCAGCCTTATGTGACGACCACCTTTTACCCCCACGAAGATTCCTGGTACTCATTTCTGTTAGGGGCTGAGTTGACCCCAAGTCCATAGTGCGGTTGGAAGGATTAAGTCAACTTAAGAGTCCAATAACCTCATCGGGAATTGAACCCATAATTTTCTGGCTTGTAACATAGTGCCTCAACCAACTATGCTAACAAGGTACATTTCCTGAATATTATTATTCATACTAATCTGGATTTAGGATTTCCTGTATCCTTATGTTACAAGCATGACAACTGCCATAAGCTACACTAAAACATTATATACCAGAAATATGGGACAGAAGTCATAACTCCAAAATGCTGTATATCCCATATAAAAGGTATGTACCTTTTGTGAGCTCCTTTTTTCCCCATTTCTTTATTCATGCAAATGAGGTCACTGCTCCTAGGTATTTTCAATTCAACTATGAGCTCACAAGTGCTGTTCCTCTGACTCGCGTTTTAAGAATAATTCCCAGTTACAATTTCCATCTCAGTGTTTTGGAAATGGTGTGGTATTAACTGTGGTGAAGATTTGGAAAACTGGGATCTTTTAACTGGGGGGCAGGGGCACATAATCTATCATTGTCTAGGGTTGACCCTGTATGGAACCTCCAGAATATGATACAGGAGGGCTAACATTTACTCTAAAATGTCTTCTTGTTAAATCTGTGATGTACACACTACCACTAAGAATAGTAAACGAAAAGTAAAAATTATAGAACTGGTTCTTTTTCTTCATCTGGCTTGATCACCATTAAAAATTCATCCACATTAAGACCAATATTTACATAAAAACATGTAAAAATTTCTCACCCTGTCTAAAGCCACTTTGACTTTTGACTCACTCGCTGTATCAAGCGCTGATGTAGCTTCATCAAGAAGCAAAATAACTGGTTTTCGTACCAAAGCACGAGCAATGGCAATTCTCTGTTTCTGTCCACCAGACAACTGTGCACCTCTTTCTCCAACAAGAGTGTTGTAGCCCTGTAAAAATGGAAATAGATTAGGAATGATACAAAAAGAAGGATTGCAATCTACTGTCCACTGCCATGCACAAAAATACAACAAATGATTTTCGGATATATAGTAAACTTGCAATTAACCAATATTCAAGCATTCAGAATTCTCATGTAACCCGCAAACATTTGAGAGAAAAATTTACCGCTTTTATTCAATTACATCAAAATCAAGGTTGCACTGCAGATATATATTGTGACGTGCTATATGACGTCCATCACTGAGCAACAACTGCAATGGGAACGCACACTTTAGCAACAACAAATACGTGGAAATTGCTGAGTTCCCACAGTGACAAACTGAATACCAACAGACTGTTGGGTAGGGATATCTGTGGCAACAAACTGTTTGAAACAGTGGGAATAATGCATTTCCACACCCACAAGCAAAGAACAGGTCAAAAAAGAATCCTCTGTTGTCCTTTCATCTCCAGGGATGTTTGCTTGTTGTTTGGGCTATTCCTATGCAATGGCCCACCGTTATTGCGTTTCCATGGAAGTAACCCTTCTGGATTCAAGGCATGGGACAATATGTTCACATGCCACAAAGCATTTCTCCCACACAAAATAAAGTGTGCAGCCTGGTGTCCCGCTCATGGAGATGTCATTACAGTATGAGCTAGTTGAAGCAGCCTCCACAGTCTAGGGGTAACGTTCCCACCTCATGACTCAAGTTACGCGGATCGTGGAATTTTTAAGGGCGGAAAAATTCAGGGAATAAGTCCTCCAGGAGGGACTTTAAGCCATGGGTCCTGTGTTGTAGATTTACAGCACGTAAAAGATCCTCATGTCTCTAGGAGACCTCTGAGCAAAATTAGGCAACAATTTCCCGCCCAAGTAGTTTCCAGTGCCTCTGGTAGATGGGGGAAATATCAGGTACCAACGGCCGACCTCGTTGGCTGAACGGGGCTGACAGCACACACCAGTACCGGTAGGGTATGGCGATAGTACAAATTAAAGGGGGACGCACAATGGACCAATAACTGGTCTAAGTGCATGGGGAAACCCAGCCCCTCTAATAATAATAATAATAATAATAAATAATAATGAGCTAGTTGAATCAGTGATCATGTGAACTCTCTCACCCATCAATCCACTTGTTGCCCAGGAAAGCTCCCATCCAAAAACATAGCAAAAACACATTGCTTTGACTTTTTATTGCGTTTCTATATGAATTATTCTCACATAACCCACTGATTCATATATCTGTCGTACCCCATTCCCTACACATGCCATGTAACAAGAAATTTACTGTATTCATAAGCTTTCAGCATATTCAACAGTCTACAACAGATTCAACATAACCTTCATTTCTGAGCCCATTAACAAAACCGTTTTAGATGTATATGCTAGTAATCTCATCCAATCAATATTACACATACATTTAAAAATGACTCACTGATTGTTGTCATCAAATAGAAACATCCTTTTGGTCAAGGCCGTGCCATACCTGAAGTGGTTAGTCGCTGGCTTACCACCAGGGTTCGATCCTGGGTCTGGTCAAGTGGGATTTGTGGTGGACAAAGTGGCCCTGGGGCGGGTTTTCTCCGAGTACTTCGGTTTCCCCTGCCAATCTTCATTCCACCAAATTCTCCATCATCGTAATCACCCGGAGCAGGCTACAATAGGCCAATTAGTGGCCGTTGTGCCGAGTGGACCCAGTTGGACTCCACCTCGCACTAAGCAAATTATAAAAAAAATAATACGTTCTTGGTCATCAAATTGTTATTTTCCTAACAAATTAACTTAACAAAAGTTCCATATCTTTGATACCATAAACATTAAAACACTGTGCTTCTCAGAAAGCAGTTACATCATAGATAATAACTGTCTAAAAGTTTTTGCTTTGGTGAACTTAAATTGCATGACCTTCCAAATGAGATTGATCAAAAGGCTTTAGAAATTCAGAGTAAATTCTTTTTTGGATTGAATAAACTATATCAGATATAATAAGTTGGAAAAAATGCATAACAAAGAACTTCACAACTTGTACTGCTCACCACATATTATTAGAACGATCAAGTTAAGGACGATAAGATGGGCAGGGTACATAGAATAAGTGGCATCATATAGGGTGTTGGTGTGAAAACTTGAAGGAAAGAGACCATTACGATGTAAATGGGATGATAATATTAAAATGGATCTTAGAGAAACAGTATAGTAGGTGTGACCTGAATTCTTGTGGCTCAGGAGAGACCAATGGTGGCAACATGGTAATGGAAAATCAGGCTCCATAAAATGCTGCAAATATCCCATGTGGCTAAGCAATTGTTGATTTATCAAGGACACAGTTCCAGGGAGTTATATATAAATGATATCAGGCCTGGCATGTGATAACAGAGCAGTCATCAAGCAGTAAGAAATACTTATATGACAGCAGCACAAAACAGAACCACCTGACATATACATGGGCCATTTGGAAAGTAACCTCAGCTTATTTTAGGTAATTAATGAAGGAGCATGGGACAGGTCACTCATGTGAGGTAGCGTCACATGACTCATAGCCTTGTAAACCATCACCTAGTGTTTGTTCTTGTCTCTACAGAGTTATGATGTGTCCTGTGATTGATAATCTTGCCAGCTGTGAAATTTGTGCTGTTATCCATTTTCTTCATGCCAAAAGCATGAGTGCTATGGAAATTCATTGTGAATTATGCACAGCAGTTTAAAGCCAAAATGTAATGAGTGAAGGAACTGTAAGACAATGGAGCAGAATGTTTTAAGATGGGCAGGGAGAACAAATGTTCATGGTGGAGAGTGAAGTGGTTGGCCATCTGTAGTGAGTGATGATCTTGTAAAAGTGTTGACCACAAAATTTGTGAAAGGCAGAACTTCACAATTTCAGAACTTTCATGTGAATTTCCACAAATTTCATGCACTGTCCTCTACGAGATTATCACAGTTGGTCCAGGCTATCACAAGTTTATATAAGATGGGTTTCAAAAATGCTTATGGGTGTGCACAAAACACAGAGAATGGCTTTAGCTTTGACTTCTTTACAGCAAACCCACAAAGATGGCACTGAATTTCTAAATCATATCCTATGAGTAACAGGTGATTGAAACCTGGGTTTCAATCAATCAATCAATCAATCAATCAATAAGCTGTCAAAGCTGTGAATGCACAAACATTCACCAAAAAAGACAAAAAAGTTTAAACAAACACTGTCTGCCTGCCAGAAAGCTGATGACAACTGTTTTCTGGGACAGGAAGAGTGGTGATGGTGGAATCCAAGCAACACAGGACCACCGTAACATCAGAAGTGTATTGTGAAACACTAAAAAATCTGCATAAATCTGGCGATTCAGAAGAAAAGGCACGGAATGCTGACATCCTTTACAGTGATCCTCCATGACAACGCATGTCCGTATACAGCGGCTCGCACTTGAGAACTGCAGTCGCATTTCAACTGGGAGTTGTCTGACCAACCTCCTTACAGCCCTGATCTCACTCCAAGCGACTACCATCTTTTTACCTACCTGAAGAACTGGTTGCGATCACATCACTTCAACACTAATGAGAAGTTGATGGAATGTGTCAAATATGGTTGAGCTCACAGGTGGCAGATTTCTTTGACACAAGCATGCAAAAACTTATTCACTGATATGACAAGAGCCTCACTTCCGACAGTGACTACGTTGAGAACTAGCTTAGGGATGTAGGTATTTCTTGTATACAATACTTTTTTCTTATTGCTTGTTTTGTTAACAGCTCACTGCAGGATACTTTCTGCATAGCCTTTGTACATGACTACAAAATCCCCTCAATTCAACTGTACTTAATGACCATACACATAAACAAGGACTGAACACAATTCTGACATATATTACTTTGTTTCCATTCAGCCACAGTAATCAGTGAAAGAACACAAGATACTTAACCTGCCATATCACTAGAAATTATAGAAAGTTCAGATTTTGTCTTTCAGTGCATACCAAACACTTACAGAATATTTAAAAAAAAAAGTCATGGAAGGGACACCAAAATTAATGGCATCTGTGATGTAATAAGTATGCCAGATAGTGCAACATCTGACACACAGTCCTGCCATACTATGCATACTGAATGATGCTGACTGGTTATGGAAACTAAAGTTAACAGATCAATAATTGGAACTATATCTGTGTTGTGGAATATAAAACTGAAAGAAAATGAGGTAAAAGAAAACTTTTGGAGCAGAGTATCTGAAAGAGGAAATAAGATGGAACATACACACAAAAGGGGAGCTCATGGGAACAGGGGAAGACACAGAATAATGGAGATGAATTTGTCACAGGATGACCCAAGTTGGCAGAAACATCATCTGATAATGATAAAAATTATGTTTTCCTGCAAAAAATTACATGATCACATCCAATTTTATACAGCAGTACGATGTGGATATTTGAAAATGTGACCTTAACAACTGGTCATGTAAAAAACATGTAGGTGGTGAGTTCATTCAGGACATGCAGATAAAAATAATCCCCAGATATGAACAAACTTCATAAAACATTAAATGTGATTATTTCTGACATTCTTCATTATTTGAGAACATAGGTGGTGGTTGCATGTACAAATTACAGAGCTAATCCAAGTTTATATATATAAAACATATTGTGACATGTTGAGCTATGGATGACGCCCCTCCCCCCGCCAGCCGTGATGCACCGAGCAAAGCCGAAGTGAGCCGAGGTTAGCCGAGTCCTAGCGTCCTGGTCACTAGGCAACGCGAGTCAACAGCGATGACGTCACCAAGGGTACCCCGGGTTGCTAGGCAGCGCGGGTATACAGGATTGCGAGAGACGACGGTAGTAACAGCGGTTACTACCGCTAGCGTTGCTAGCAACACAGCGCTAGGCAACAAGGGTGCTTATTACGTGGCCGTTTTCTGTATTGTCCAATCGAGGCTACATGAGGAGCAGCGAAGGCTATTCACAGTCAGTCCTGGAGCTACCTCCGAGTTAGTCCTTGAGTTAGTTCCAAGTTAGCCAGCAACTAGTCAGTTGTATTCTGGCATTTGGAGTGCACTATTTGTGATACTGCAGATAGCAGTAATCGTAAATCTGTAATTTGGGTGATTGTAAGTACGAATGTGAAATAAAATACGCCATGAAGTTATTTGTCGCGATATACCCACAATACGCGACAACTTCTGACACCAATGTAACGTGTTTCGTTACAGAAGACGCCGTAGAGATGGTTAATTGGTTTATTTAACAATCTTCAAATAACGGCTACAATTAATTATCACAATATTACGGGTTTCCACACTTTACAAACCCTACAACAAAATCTCTTAACACTATCTTCAAGAGTCTTCACGTATTAATAACGCAGGAGCTATACAAGTCTCCCTGAATTACACACTCCAGATATAACTGGTTATCACTGGTTATCGCACACGCATCTGTAGCTCGTAACTTGCGAACTGAGAACTCGTTGGTAACGCACTGACTGGCTGACTGTCACAGTACAACTGACTGTGAATAGCCTTCGCTGCTCCTTATGTAGCCTTGATCGGACAATTGTTGTCTGGTGCCGTTTGCTAGCCACGCTGTCCAGAGTTGTTGACTTCTGCCTAGCAACCGCGATATCCCTCGGTGACGTCACCGCTGTTGATTCGCTTTGCATAGCTTCAAGGTCGCGGGGACTCGGCTAACGTCGGCTTAGCTCGTGACGTCACCGCGCGTTGCAAGTTGCATAGCTACCAGGATGCGGGGTGATTACTCGCCTATTACGCGAGCGCTACGTTACCGCTACGTGCAGCTGGGGAGGTAGGGGTCAACATGTCACAATATTTTTAAATACAATTTTTTCTCTGTATTATAAACATGATACAAACCTGTGGTAGTTTTGATATAAAATCATGGGCATTTGCTTCCTTAGCAGCCTCTTGGATATCACTTTCTGTTGCTCCATCAGCTCCATAGCCAATGTTCTCAGCAATGGTGGTATTGAAAAGAACTGGCTCTTGTCCAACTACACCAATATGTTTTCTCAGCCATGAAACATTGAGTTCTTTCACATTATTACCATCTACCATAACCTATACAGAAAAAGTTTCCAAGCATTATGAAGAAATTCCAAGTAGTCATTATTAAACCTTTCTCTTTCATCGACATATCTGAAGCCTAAGGTTTGCCATTCTGTCATTATGTAGCAGTCAAGAGCTGTTAATAGTCATGGATAGGACAAACAGGTTGCCTTGAGATGTATCTATGCATCAATCAGCATTGCAGTCTTGACTTCTGCTGAAAACAAATTTCAACTGTTGGTACTGACCATATATAGTAAAATAATGATTTAATGTATTAGAGAGGACCAATGAATTGTTTTTTTTTAAGTCTCTCATTGAAGCAGGCAGTCAGCATTGAGACTACATATACAGTTTCTATGGAATGATGTTGTGGGAACATCCCACATTATCACGCATTTCTGCAACGCTCGCTCTTCACATCACTTTTCACCATCACGCGCGCTAACCAATCAGATTGCTTCAAACGTTCGTATTTATACTGTGATCGCTGCTAGCCCGCATCTACGTCATTACGTGCACTAGCCAATCAATTCTTCCTCCTCAATTTCGAGTTTCGCTCCGCCCCTCCGAGCAGTGTATAAAAAGGGGCAGCTCCAACGCCGAGTATTCAGATCAGTTCTTCAGTTCATCATCAGACTACGAGCTAGCCACATCAAGCAACATCAGCCAGCAGGCTTCGTCGCCAGCGCTCGGTCTTCGGAGGCATCAGCAGGCTGCGCCAGGCACGACTGCCTCGGCCCTCCGGCGCTCTCACACCCGACTCACTGGGGCACCGCGCCTGGACTCGCCGGTGGTCGTGTTACTGTTAGACCCACTGGGCATCTGGCATAGCCACTGCCTCATGACTCCTACGACCGCGCTCAACGACTAGCCTTTCACCAGCAGACACCGCGCTGCGATCAAGCAACCTCCAACTCACGCCGCTGCGCGGCAACCAAGCAACCTCCAGCCATTCACCACAACTAGCCTTTCTCCTTACCGGCGCGCGCCGCACTACCTATCCGATCAAACATCTCAGCAGCCACGGTCCTTTTCAGGGCCAACAAACTGTTCCGAAGAAGTGGGTTGTCATCGGAGTAATGACAAAAGACTACACATCAAGAGCCCCACAATGGTTAATGAATGTGGAACAGTTGGTAGAATGAGAATTGGCTATGAAACCGAAGTACTCAGAGAAAACCTGCCCTTGTGCCACTCTGTCCACCTCAATTCCCATGTGATCTGAAATAAGATTGAACCAAAGCTGCTGCAGTGGGAATCTGGTGACTAACTGCCTGAGCTTTGGAACAGCTCAAATGACTGGTGGTCTGTGGACTGTAGCCAGAGACGGTAATTGTTTATTCTGAAGGTTCTGCCTACTGGTTGCATTTGAGATCATTCAGAATAACATGTGGCTGTGTATTAGCACAATGGAAGACTAGAAAGTGTAGATTGGAAAAAATGGAGTGTATCATGGTAACCTTGAAATACTGACAAGCAGTAAAATTTATAAAGTGTCTGTCTGAGGGCCAAATCACTCAACCACTGACTTTTAGAGTTAGTTAAGTTGTGACAGAAATGCATCTCTGTGAATAACAGTGAATGAAACAAAGGATATTATGATGCTCTATCACTCTTTTTCTTTCTTAAAGAAAAAGATTAGTACTTTTGACAAAGCTTATTTTTATAGGTACTTACACCTAAAAATATTTTGTCCTGATAAGAGCACCAGCATATTGCTATTCTATCCTACTGTAAATGCAGCTGTTTTCCAAGAAGCTTTCCAAGTTCATATATTAAGTATTTTCGATAAAGTTTGTTTTTAGCAATTTACTGTTGAAATTGCAATGGCCTTTAAGCTAGTTACTTAATGTATTTATTTCCTGGGTTAGGCATCTGTCACAACAATCCCAACTATTGTATATTTGTAACAGCTGGGATAGCGCAGTCAGCATAGCAACTGACTATGTGCTGGATGACTGAGGTCCCACAGTTTGAGTTCCAGGATTCAAGAATATTCATTTCTTCATGTCGTCTAGACCAGTTCTGGGGCCCATCCAACCTCCTATCTAATGGATACTACAGGTAAAGGGGCTGGGGCGTGAAGCTGACCACACCTACAACTAGTGGCGAAGTCAAGGAAACATGGGTCTATACATCAATTTCCCCATATGTCTTCATGGCATAGTGTTTAATTAGTTAAGCACATGGAAAACTTTACCTTATGGTACATTCATTTTCAGCTTATTCAATGTAATTTTCAATAAAATCAAATGGTTTGAATGTTAATGTTTGAATGCCAGCAGCAGTATCAAACCGAAAGCACTCTTTTTAATATATAAAATGTTGGTATAAATAACTGTCCAACTTCACCCAAAAAATGGAAGTACAGACTTAGAGAGGTTCAGAAAAATGTGTCAGAAAAAGGATTATATAGACAGCAATGCACTGAAGTAACAGATTTTTCTACCTCTTCTTAATAATCTCTCCCAAATACTATTTACCTCTCAAAATAAAGACTCTGTTAAACCCGTTCAAATATTCCACCTACATTTGTTTCAACAAAATAACCAACTCCATAAAGTAGAGCTCTTCTTAAGAAGTTAACCATCATTCAGACACTGAAAAAATTCCTTGCTCTTAATGGAACCCAAAGTTCAGCAAGGTAAAGGGCCCGAAATTATCTGACTTCAGATTGCAGTCCAGGTGCAGAGATCAAGATGTCATATACATCCAGTGTTCCAGCTTTCTGGCGTCATGTAACATTGCATTCAAAAGTTATTGGACATTGTGTTTTCTATGGAGTCTGTGTCATATTAAATACTCAATATGTAGTGAAAGGAAAGTAGGTGATTAGTTCTTCCAAGAATGTTTTCTAATATTATCCTTCCATTCATGCCTACATTTTCGAAAAGGTCTCTTACCTTTAGATATTCCAGCCAAAATTTTTTATAAATTTCTCATCTTTCCAATACATGCTACATGCCCTGCCCATCTCATGCTTCGTGACTTGACTGCCCTATTAATATCTTGCAAAGAGTTCAAATTATGAAGCTTCTCATTAAGCAGTTTTTCAAGCTATTCTTTTAAATGAGGATAATGAATTTTGCTGACTGCTACTTCTTCCCACACCACTTGTGTTCATTTCATCCTACCATTTCTCATTTAACAAAAAATTGGTACAGAATCCTTCTCATTTACTCACGCACACACACTATTCTCTTCATGCACAAATGTGGCTTAAATTACTGTTCTAATTTCAATCCAAATCTTGGATCCCAAGGATTCATATTGTAACTGGTTCCTTTTTCAAAGCATAGCAATACAGGATTCTAACTGTATAGGTCATTAAAAGCTGATCCACACTGATTCACTTTTATTAACAATATGAGAACTCAGGTTCACTTGATATTACTGGCTTAGTAACTTTTTTGAATGTTAAGACATAAATGATAGCATGGTGGACAAGATTAACTATAAACAGCGATCACATTCTCCTGATACTCAGACATAGGCATAAGTCGACAATAATGTATATTAGGAAAAAGCTCACCATTCCTTGCTGTGGGTCATAAAACCGCTGGATGAGCTTGATAAAAGTTGATTTTCCACATCCAGAGCTTCCCACAAGAGCCACTGTCTCACCACAGTTTATATCCAAGTTCAAACCCTGAAGTACCTGCCATGAAAAGGTTTTTCAGTTATTTGATGCATGCTTCTTATAGCCTCAATCTGTCTACTTTTTTCCTTTTAATATCAATTTGTATAGTTCTTAATTATATTTTAATTTTGTAACTTGTCTCATTTAAAATCTTTATCTTTTATTGCATTTTATGTTTTATATTACTGTATTATGCTATACTGTCAAAACCCTAACACTACTGTACTGAATTATACAGAACGCAGTTCAAAAGCTTAAGAACACATTACTTGTATTTGCCTGATGATGGCTTTCTGAAAAGCCGAAACATGTAGCAAAGTACTGTTAAACATCAACTGTTTTGTTTTTGTGTTGTGACGGATTTTAACAAAGTAATTTAAGCAGTAACATTACTGACTTGTATTTAGGGGTCTGGTTTGAATACTGACCAACTATCCTGAGGATTTATGGGGACTTCCTGAGCTTCCCTAGAAAATTCCTGGACAATATCATTAAATTAGGCTATGACATTTTCCTTTCCAATAAAATCTTGACTATCATCAATAATTCAATGTCAAACAGTCCAAACTATTAACAGTGTTAGTAAATATACTACACATAAATACACGTGAACCAACAAAAAAATACGTAAGGCACAGTGTGTGGGATTCACTTACCTTAACATCTGCCCTAGTTGGATATTCAAAATGGACATCTCTGAAACATATGTTGCCATTCATCTGTTCTGGGCGCTTCCCATCTTTAGAAAAGTTATTGATAGGCGAGGCATGGTCAATTACTGAGAATATTCTTGCTCCAGCTCCTTTGGCCATGGAAAAGGCCTCAATATATGCAGACAACGTACTAAAATTCAGTGAAGCCACCATAACTCCAACAAACACCTGTGCCAAAATGATTACTGTCAATGTCTTCATAATTTGTCCCATGTATCACACCAAGGTGATTCAGGAAACTTTACCACAGCTGACTTATGGCTTCATTTATCAAGGATCCTGAAATTCTAATTAGCATTATATTATATAAGCCTACTTTCCTACTGCACAGATATCCAGTGTTATAAACCTTGTGTTGCTAATGTCACATTTATAACATAACTTCATAACCCAGCAATGAAATGCAATGTAGCTCAAGGGTTACTCTGCTAGACTGAATCCTGAAGCAGTCATATTTTTGTTCCCAGTAATTATAAATATGTTAAAATTATTAACATCCCCACCATCATTATCATCACCAATTATTATTTTCTTTTTCATAAGATACTATTATGTAAATATACATTTCTGTCTATGTTAAATTAGTAGGATATAGCTGAGAAGAATTTTACTTTGCACTGTCATACTCATAACGTATGTAACTGCTGACCTATAAACAGCAATCCCATGTAGTTCAGTAGAAGTCCACTGACTATTCAGAGGAGCCAACTTCTACAAAATTATAAAGCATTACAACCCAGAAGACTGCATTCTTCATTAACTCCATATCAACTTTTGCATGCCTAGCTCCAATAGTGCATTAGTTATAAACTTCAAAATTATGTTTCCAAACATCTATTATCAAGCATCCCTTCAAGTTCTTAGTGTTACGCCTACCAAATTATTTCACATGCCCAAGTGTATGATATTTAATTGCTATGTTTGGTGTGGGTGTTTATGATCTATTTTCAATTTAATACTTTTTAACCTTTAAATGCCAGATTTCTGAAATGGTGGTAAGCTTCAGCTTGCTGGAGTTTATTTAAATGCCCACTGCTGGTGCACGTTTAAATGCCCACTGCTGGTGCACGTTTAAATGCCCACTGCTACACTCCGTTTAAATGTCCGTTCCTGTTAGGGCGCCTAAACAATTTTAAGCATTGTGTTTAAAAATGCTGTATCTAACACAATTTTTATGATAAATGGATGGAATTAACTTTGTTTGTATCAACAAAGAACATAGTGTCACATATTATAACATGAGCTTTGCAAATTTTTATAGAAAGAGTTATACTTTATTCCCCCTCGTTGGTGGCTCCACCTAATCGTGGTGAGGGGGTTTGAGTATGCCAATGACCCTGAGAGCTATACCAGCGGTAGCGTAGCTACTGGCAGGGCCTCCCTTGCTGGACAGGTCAAAGGGTAGGCATCAGACGAAGAGAGACACCAAAAACTGATGCCGGAAGCAGCGTCATCAGCAGCGACTTGAAGCACAGAGTAAATAATGCTCGAGATGGTTCAAGTTCGTATAGCAACAGGCGTGACCAGAGTGGTTTGAACGGCTGTTGTACTGCGATGTGGAAAGCAAATGGAAAAACTACCACATTATCACTTTTCCTGGATAGTCTCTTTCCAAAACCAGAGATACCATGTATGCGAGATATTTCATTTGAAGGAGAAAGCTCTAGATCGCATCAAGTGGAGGAACTGTTTTGGAAGAGACTGTGGACCTGTCGTCTTGACAGATTACTGATGAATGAATGAATACTTTATTATCAATTTTTTTCTTTTCATTTTGATGCGTACTGTAAAAATGGTTTCCAAGTTCTTCACAGAGCTGTTCTGCATTATAAAATCAGTCCAGCTTGTAACACTTGACATATTTTAGCAGTCCCTGGTGTCATAAAACAGATGGAAGCAATAAAATCATTTGGTCTTCTACTGGCAAGTTTCATGCCTTTGTTACACTCTTCATATTTTCGAATCTTTTGACTAAAGGACAGAAGAATGGAAGCATGGCTATTCAAGAAAAAGCTAGAGGAGTCCCTTCTTCAGTGCTAAGACCTTCCGTTATAGCTGCAAGAGATTACTGACCTTTCTATGGTCGTGAACAGACAGTTGCATCATGGCTGAGATACAGAGTGTGATCTGTTTTCTGTACGTTCATAGTGAAATCGAATACTGCAGTTTCATTTCAGCCTATATATACATCAAGCAGATAACAACAAAAAAAGGTATGTACATCGAATTTTACTATATATTTTAACACATTAATCTGCAGAATCTGCAGTAAAAGTACTGGCTCGTGGGTGAGTTTCATTATAACTCATACGTATACTCTTTTTTGTTGTTGTTCACTTAGGTATAATTTTAATTCGTCTATTAGGGTTTTACTGAAGTCTGTCTGGTAATTACTACATTTAAAAATAAATATTTAGGACTGTGCATGTGCTTCTACTAGATGTGTGTGCAAGCACTTCCAGCAGCGGAGTTTAAATGCCCGACTGGCCAAATCGGGGTGCTTTGGCCATGATGACCATACTCATCACTGGCCTGATTGGGGCACTTCGGACATTAAAGGTTAAAAGTCTTCATATTTATATTTATTTATTTATATTGTAAATAAATATGTTTAGTTGTTTTTAGATTAGATTTGTAAACTACTATTTGTAATGTAAAATGTGAGACAGAAAAGGCACTGTTCTTTTGCTAGTCTGTGAGTCAAACAAGGTTGAAAACCATTCATCAAAGGGACATGATATGATGTTATGTTTCTTATAGGAAATAATTCAAGCAAATGAAAAATGATTTCTTACTGTGACCATAGTTTGTGGCATGTACACAATTTCATCTTCAGGCTTGTACTTGTCTTCCAACACCAGACCAACACCATACCATGATCCTAGTGCATAGAATGTACACATCAAAGTCAAAAGGCCTCCAAATGCAATTCCTGAGATTAGTCCTCTTTTTACACTGATGTTTTTGGCATTTATAAGGTTGGCTTTGTACCTGCAAGAAGAATAAAATGTAATATGCATAGCAAATTGTTTATAACCCACAGTGCAATCACGAATGTGAAGATACAGAACATGCAGTTGCCTTATTCAAACCCACCTCAATAGTACAACATTTTATAAGTAAAGTTGGACCTACATATAAGGTGAATTAAAAAAAATTGGGCAATTTGCATTTAAATTGTGGAAACTGTCAGACAGTACTCTTGTGGACATCACACATACTACATACTGAAGACAGCCTAGGCATATTGTGGGGTTGCTGCTTTGACCAGTGAAGCTCATGCAATCATTCGTAAACAGGTGAGATCAGCTATTGAAATCCACCATTGTGAACAGTACAACCTCATTCAGTTTCTGTGGTACAGGCAGGATAAAACACTTTGAGATTCCCAGAAGACTGTTAGCACAATATAGCAAAAACTGAACTACACAAAGGAAGATGGGTGGGTGGAAACGTTCCAAAGTGATAAAACAAGCATCAACAATGAAGCGCTAGAGTCATCTGACCACTTCATGAACAGCAGACAGATGTACTATTGTCAATGATACAGCCAATAAGTTGGCCATCTCCTGTGGATCTACATATTCCACCACCCATGCCAACCTTCAGTACCACAGAACTTGTTCAAGGTGGGTGCCAAAGCAGCTTAAAATAAGCATAAAAAGGAATGTGTGGAAACATGCACACAATTTCTGCAGTGCTATCATGAAGTAGGGGAGGCTTTTCTGCAATGAATTGTCATAGGTAATGAAACATAGGTGCACAATTATGAACCTGCTAGCAAATGTCAAAGCATGGAGTAAAAACATGTGCCATCACCCAGGATAATGACACTAGAAAGTGTGTCTTCTGCTAGCAAAGTAATGTTGACATGATTTTGGAATATTAAAAGGCCCATCCTCCAGATCATGGACAGATGAGTAACAGCACATGGTCTTATGTTATGCTTGGAGAGCAGTAAACAGTAAACCCAAAGGAATGTTGTCAAAAGAAATTGTTTTGCAACATGGCAATGCTTTACCTCATATGGCAGGAGTGACCACTGAAATCCAAGCTTGCCATTCATTCAGCATACAACCAAGATGGCATCCCATCTGACTATCATATTTTTAGACTATTCACAGATGTGCTTTGTGGGCAATGATCTGCAAATGGTCAAGAGCCCAAAGATATATAATGCATGCATGGCTTCACACACAACTGAATACAATCTTCACAGATGACATCAGGAAGCTCAGGGTCTCAAGTGACAAATACATGGAGAAGCTACAACACTGTGTACCACTCCCTCAAAACTATACTTTCATATGATACAACAAGTATGGGGTGTAATATGAGGTCTCTCATGCCTTAATGCAAACCTCATTTTTACATGATACGTTCGTTTTTCGCATACATTACTCTGGAAACATCTGGTATAGAGAAAATGCCACTAGAAAATTTAAAATTGAATACATAACAGAGAAGTCTATCCTTAATCATACCTCTTCACTTCAGAATCCTCCCCACCAAATGCTTTAACAGTCCTGATAGAACTCAGAACCTCTTCTGCAACTGAACCAGCAATTCCATAGGCTTCCATTTCCTTCTTTGACAGTCTTGATAAGATCTGGGATAAATGAGATTTCATAAAATATAATTTAGTATTTGCGAATGACAGTAACAAACAACAAGAATTTCTGGGAAGAACTCATGACACCTACTAAAAAACGAATGTTTCAAATCATAGCTTAAGGGTAGTAAAAACACTAAAATAAAGCTGTATACAATTTTGTGATCCACTTCTGTGCATAATTTCCTCTAGTACTAATTCCACCTATATTCAAATTGTTAGATGTAACCTCAGTATTTCACACCACATGTATATTAACATATTGTAGTGTGTACAGCAGCTGCTATGCAATGACTGAAAGATGGGAGGATACCAGGGCCATTTCTGGTCAATGGTTTGGTAAACATATTTCTGATGCTAGGTAGCAGATTCTTAATAATGCATCAGTTGGACTACAACAATGGAAGAGCTGTTTTCTACATGGTCCGTGCCGAGGGGTTACAGGGTCAGTTTAGTCAGTTCTGTATGGGAGTCTGTGAAGAGGGGACTTGAGACAGAGGCAGAGGAATAGCCACTGTTGAAGCCATTACTGAGAACTGAGACTGAGAACACTAGACTGTGTGCTCTAACAAACTATAAAGTTTGCAAATAGGATGGAGTTATAGTTATTTGTAGTTACAATCTGTAAATGGTCAATAAATCTATTCATATCCAAAACCTGTCTGTAGCCACCCATACGCATGACAACTAGTGTCAGAAGTGGTTGGATTGGAAAGGATTAAATCAATGGAGTCAGAAGGTGTGCATCTGAACATGAATGCACTCACTACAGATTAGTGATTATAAGTTTTGTTTTACATAACCGTTCAGTTTATTTCACTGTCAGACCTCATATACAGATGTGAAACTTGATCTCTCACTGTTAGACTATTTGAACTGACAAATACATTTTCATCAACCCATGTATGAATCACCATGCCAAGCAAAGATGCCAAATCACTACTGCACTTTTTTCAATTTCCTGCCATTAATAACCCACACATAGTGGCTGTGTGAACTTCTGAGATTGAAAGGGTAACATATCCACTACACATATTACCCTAAAATTTTTAAGTAAAATCCAAATTTAGTGTTCTTACATTCACAATTTCAGAAGTGGAAAGCCTGGTCAATGAGGATTTTGACAAAGAGATACATGCAGACTGGGCCAGTTGTGTATATCATGCTGTAGAACTGTAGGAAGATGATTACGCAAAAGAACTAGCACGTGACAAAATTTTAGAGCCTATCATCATCATCATCAACAACTTAAAAAAGAGTAAGACAGAAGATGAAAGTAATGACCACAATAATGTGCTATTAGCTGCTCCTCGAAATTAAAAAGCCAAACCATTAAAATGGTACAGTCATTTCATTATACATTATGATATATATGTTTTAGTTATTTTAATATGAAGACGGCAAGGCATGCAGTGAACTAGTTTATCGTAAATCGAATGAGCACCTGAAGATGGCACTTTTGTGCCGAAACATGTAGTGCGAGAGAGAGGAGTGAGATAGATGAGTGTACGCACTGGAAGACGGTTGAAATAAATCATTGATTATGTTTACTCAAACTGTGATTATTTAAGAAGAAATACATAGATGAAACTTAGCAGAAATCCCCTACTAAAAATTTGCTATGACTTGGCCTGAACATTAACTCCTGAATGGTGGGGATACTTACCACAGTGACTGCTATAACAACTGCCATTGTGATGAGAAGTGAAGATAGGGAAACTGGAGCCAGATGCCAGCCCACTGTGAGAGCCAGTACGAAGCAACCAAGACACGTTGCCATAATATGTGTGAACTGAATCACTTTCTCTCCAATTCCATCCTCCAGCTTCATTATATCTCTGGTGCACATAAAAAAAGAGTGTATCAGAAATGCAGCACAATTTTTCATACACATTTCTTCATCAGTTATTAGGTTAGAGAACTAGGTTGTAGACTGCAGATAAAGGGTAAAAGGTAGGCCATACTGGCCCTTACACAGAGACTGTCCATCTACTGTGCATCCTCCTTCTGAGTTAACCTCTAGTAGTCCTGCACTTCAGATGAGGAGTTACTCAGTTAATAAACTAACAAGGCAACTCTCGCAACCTCACCTGAAATTCTGCGTGGTAGCAGAATCTCTTAAGTAATGATTTTGAGCAAAAATTAAGTCAACAATATAAACTGTCAAGTGTCCAAAAAAAATTAAGAATGTAAGACAAAGGCAAGGTTTGTATGATATCAGACTAGTACTAAACAACAAAATATGAGTAAGGTGGATGCATTCAACATTACACATCAGTGGAAATTTTCACTGATATTATTATGGTTTTGCTCAACAATGCTGTTTACAACCAGTCAAACCAGCAGATACAATTCAGAAAATCTTTAAAATTCCCCTGAAAAGAAAGGCCATATTCAGACACCAAACAAAGAATTCTTTCATCAATGGAAAGCATTTTACTGAGCTTCTTCTATAAGATCAACCGCAACTAAACAATTACATTTGAAGTATTTAAATGATACAGCATTTTTAAGTTTCAGTTACACCTTCATTTTCATTTTTCATCGTCTCAGTTTCACAACCTTATCAGATACTTGAAGTAGGCTACAAAACATGCCATCAAGCGAATACAAGCTTTTGAAACACCAGCACAGTGTTTGTGAACTGCAAGAAAGTCAAATTAAATCACTTATTCAGTGGTGTGCATATGAAACCTATGGTTCAAGTATGTTCTCAATACTTCATACTTCAGGGACACTTGTATTGAATAACTTTAATTCAAAACATAATTTTTTACTAAAAATATTTAAAAACATGTACTAGACATACGCAGAAAAATATTTAAGTACTCGTGTAAAATGTCCGTTATTTCTGATTTAAAAAAAATATTCACGAAAATCCATTCAATAGTGATAAGAGTACTTCAATACATACAGACAGAAGGGCAGATGGACACATGGATGAGGCAGGATGAGTTTAAAAGGTGCTTGCAAGGCTGTCAATGTGCCTATAAATTACCATATAATTAAACTTACTCTGATATACTGCTCACAAAATCTCCAGTGTGATGTACATCATGCCAGCCAATATCTTGTGACAATATGGACTTGAAATATAAATTTCGAATTTGAAGAATCTGAACAGAAAGCAAAACATCACAAACTTGTAGACATATAGTAAGAAGAAAAAAAGATCTGCAGACCAGTCTGCTGTGTGTACTTGTACAATTGTAGCAAACTATTAATATCTTAATCGGTTATAAAGGCTATGATGACGGTATGTACATATTTATTTTCAGAATAGAAAACAATGGACATCTAGAAACCCGGCAGTACTTAGCAACAGTAAATTATCCACAGAGAGAGAGAGAGAATGTAAGTGGGCTCATACATTTGATAACTGAATGTGCTGAATGTACTACATGACTGATCACATTACCAACTTTCTAGACTGAACTACAACACAAAGAAAAAAGTGAACTAGATTGTTCATAAAAAAAAAACTTGATTCCTTACTGCTGTACAGATACATGCTAAAAGCGCACCTAAATGTGCATAAACAGACAAATACTAAAGAATACTATCACAGTGTAGTAAAAGCTTGTTGATGTTTTGGAGGAATACAGTGCTTCCATCTTCATGGTTGAGGAGTAAGCTGAGCAAGCAGGCTTAATTTTCAACCCTGAAGCTTGAGGCAGTACATTCCTATGAAACAGTAAATTTCTACTAGACTACATACCATCACATCCCAGAATATGTCCTTCACAGTTCCCTCTGTGTGAGTCTCAGATCTCACAGACCAATACCAAATACTGGGTTTATTGTATTACACAAGTATATTGCCTTGCTTTGAAATATTTAGGAATAAATTCATATGAACTGTGTCAAATTCACGAACATAAGGCAAATTCTTAAGTAGTTAGGGTATTAATCCACATATGAAAAATAAAAAATTACAACCCTTATCTCTTGTAACCTGGAATATTATGAAATGCTTTCTAAGGCAAAAATATTTGTACCTTCAAAATTACTGAGAGAAACCCTTTGAAACTGCAATAAACACTGATGAGGTCAAGGTCTAGAAAAATTTACACAGAATTCTGTCTTCTTAGGGTTGTGGTAGCATAGTTGGTTACTTACAAACTGGAAGGTCATGGGTTCAAGTCCCAATGAGGCGGACTTTACGATTGACCTAATCCTTCCTGTCGTGCCATGGCCCTGGGGTTGACTCCATCTCTAACAGAAATTAGTACCAGGAATCTTCATGGGGAGTAAAGGTGTGTAAGTCTGGCAACCTTACTGCCATCTGTGAGGGGACTGTGTAGAGAGAATGTGGGAGCCTTTATGCCTCACAACCCTATGGGCCTTCACGGATTGTTACAGGGATAGCTTTACCTTTACCTTCTATCTTGGACAGAATACCATGTAGTTTGTAGAAGTTCACCGACATTTTGGAGGTGATGTTCCTACAAAACGTTGACTGACTTTCGAAGGACTAAACAGTGTTATATCCCAGAAGACAGAACCCTTCATATTAATCACTTAAGAGCCTAAAATCCTATAAATACAGTTTTCTATGTGTTATTATAAAAAATATGGGGTACGTGGTAGCGTACTGGTTAAGGTACTATGCTACAAGCTGGAAGGTCGCGGGTTCAAGTCCCAATGAGGTCACTGGATATTTTTAAGTTGACCTAATCCTTCTGGCCACACTAGGCCCTGGGGTTTACTCAGCCTCTAACAGAAATGAGTACCAGGAATTAATTAAATAATTTTCCTGGGGAGTGAAGCGCGGCCGGCGTGTAAGGCTGACAACCTTACCGCCATCTTTGAGTCGATTGTCAAGGTAATGTGGGGACCCTTAACGTCTCACAACCCTATGGGCCTTCACGGCCTGTTACAGGGATAGCTTTACTTTTTTTTTACTTATTATAAAAAATATTGCTACATATTTTGCACACATCATACATGTTCTGTGGGAAATACTAAAGCTATACATTGTTCAGTGAAGCTCTTTTATGTCTCTGAACTGAAGAATGTGCACAAAAATATGCATTTACATGTCAAACAATCAAGATCTTACCTGTTTATGGGCTAAATGATTACACATCCAGACTGAGAAGGATGTAAACACCAGCGATACAAATCCAAGTGCGGCACTCAGAACCGTGAATTGCAGAACAGCATCCAAGAATGCATATTTATCAAGATCTGACCCAGTTTGAGTGGCCATACTATATGCCATCATTTTTCCACTAAGTTCACCAAACAACCATACATGCAATGTTGCTATTCCTCCAGTAGTTAAAGCCCCAAGACTGCAAACAAAAAGCAGAAGTCTCTCCCACCATGTTGAGAATCGAAACTGAAAAGAAACAAATGAATAGTACACAATAATACGTTTTAGTTTTGAGTGTGTGCGCTTGCATGTGAGACAGAGGGAGAGAGAGAGAGAGAGAGAGAGAGACATGATGTTACTCAACCAGCTTCATGGAAAAAAGTCCTTCTACAAAAACTTATAATCAGTCAGGTTGTCAAGAAGTTTATGGAAGTTACGGAACCTAAAGGTTCCTTATCATGATCACAAGAGTCTACGTATGTGTGTATGTGTGCAAGGGGTGGGCTATAAAATCCGGCCCTTGCACTGCGACCTTCAATGATCTATTGTGCTTTCCTTTTGGATTAATCCTTTATTAATCCTACACTTTAAATGAAATGTAGGACTTTATTTATGGGGGTGTCATAAAAGTCACTTGATTTCACAAAGAACTGACACAAGTGACAAAATCTTAAATAAGCTGTGGCCTCACAGTCACACAGGATATGTGTGGCTGATTCATCTGCTTGTAGGCACCTTTCACAGGTTGGGTCATCTATCAGTCCCAATTTGAAAAGGTGTCCTTTTACGTGGCAGTGTCCAGTAAGTAATCCTATCACCCATCTTAACTGATCTTTGTTTAATTTCAACAGATCCTTTGTTCTTCTGACAGAGGGTCCTGATACAAATCCTTTTGCCTGTTTGAGTGCAATTGTGGATTCCCAGTATCACAAGAGTCTACATCTGGAACCTATTGTGAGCCAAGTAAATAAACAATCTTACACCACAATTCTTTAACAGCCATTTTAATATTAGCTTCCCAACTAAGTTCATGTCTCTGAAGTGGCCTCTTCTCTACAGGTTTTTGAAATAAAATGTTGTATGCATTTCTCATCTCCATGTTCTGGAAGAAAGATGACAGTTTCTGAAATGCAAAGGTAGTAACACAGTAGCATGTGAACTTATATTACATATGACTGGTGTTTAGTCACCTATAAATAAGACAACTGTAAGCTTATTTTAGGAATTTTTTTCAGATAAAAAATGTTTTGGTTCCAGAGTCTCTCACGTAGCTGAGGCTCCTTGATATGAGTGATTTAGTTTTGAAGTTTATAGAACTTATACATGATTAATGTTAGGCATGTGCAAGAATCACTCAGAATTACTGGGCTTTTGGACTCTGTCCATTCTCCAATATTCCAAAAAGCTAGAAAAAATGAAAGGAGATTTAATTCAGAGTCTTCATAATAGAGCTTCTGCCATATACCGAGAACGACAAGATCTGGTTAATGAACTTAGTAGCCTGAGATGTGATCTTCAGTTCAAAGTTATCCTCAAGTTTCATTAATTCCAAGGGTAGCATAGCAGTTGTCCAGAATAAGGGGGAAAAGTCTCTGGGATATGTGTATTTCCCATTTGTGAAGGGTGTTTCAGAAAAGTTCAAATGTATAGGGAATCAATACGACATTATTGCTTTCTTCAAAATTAAACATACCCTTAGTTCACTCATGAAAATCAGGTCAGAAAGAGAACTAAAACAGACAACCTGGTACATCTATAGCATTTCCTGTGAATATGGCACAAGCTACATTGGTGAAACAGGCATACCTCTAGTCGCGAAACTTCATGAGCATAGGCACAATCTCAAAGAGGGTCTTACAGAAAAATCAAAATTACCCCAGTATGCCCATGAAGAGGTCATAGGGTAGACTGGGATAAAGCTTGGATTTTGGAAATTGAGAATAACAGTAAAAAGTAAGTAAAAACGTAAATATATCACTGTAACATGCCATGGAGGCCCATAGGGTTGTGAGATGTTGAGGCTCTCACATTTTCTAGATAATCGGCTCATAGATGGCACCAAGGCTGTCAGCCCTATGCGCCAGCCACCCATTACCCCCAAGAATATTCCTGGTACTCATTTCTGTTAGAGGCTGAGTCGACCCCAGGGCCATAGTGTGGTTGGAAGGATTAGGTCAATTGAAAAAAATCCAATGACCTCATTGGGACTTGAACCCGCGACCTTCCAGCTTGTAGCGTAGTGCCTCAACCAACTTAGAACATACAAGGAATCTCCCTACGTGGCATGCTTAACCAGTCTGATCAGCCAGCACAGTTCGGACATTTCTCCCATCTGGATCCCCCTTATCAGCAATGAGGTTGGCAATACACAGGGAAGATCTGACAGATTCTTCACGGGCTTCTATAACGTTGTAGTCCTGAATGTTCAGTTTTTACTCCACATATGATGCTAGCAGTAGGACTGTGGATGCTTTATCACATTTATGTTGTACATTTTTCCTGTTATCTCCCTCTGACAAAGTCTGGCCTTGGGTATTTATGAGTATATAGCTGTAGCTATACTGAAATAGGATGTCTGCTGATTGAGGTTATCTCTTTCTAAGGGACACAATAGAGTAAATGTCTCCCTCCCTCACCTGAGGATGGAAACATCCAGTTTCTGAAACACTGTGTTCTAGTTTTTGTCACATTTTTATTTTCATCTCCCTTTGACAAAGCCTGGTCTCAGGTACACCATCAGAATCTTGTACATTCTACATGTGCAAGAATTACTTTCTTAGTCTTAGGTGAGAATTTTGAAAAATTTAGAGACCCGAGACAAGAATGAGATTTTTCTTTATTGGATCAATTTATTTTCACAGAAATCACAATTTATAACACTAGTCACGTTTACCCAGTGCACCGAAGTGTACCACATATCTCTTTTTTGATATCAGATCTTCCTTCAATGAAAAATTTTCATAAATTTATTTATAAAAATGCAGTTGTAGGTCCATTTCATTTTTCATTATTGACAGAAAGAGAGAAAGGGATTTTATTGGAAAGTTGATTCATTCTAGTGCTGCGAATCATGATTCTGAGGCACCAGATAATTTGTGTGCTACTGTGCAAAGCAAAAGCAGTTACCTGAAAATTCTCAAAGTTCAAGACTGAAAGATCAGTGTTCAAATCGAAACTGACATTTTTTCACTCACTTTGATTTTGAAAATTCAAGATACACATGACCAATTAATATCAACTGAATCAGATTATCAGTTGGTGTCACGCTTTCTCACCAGAAAAAGAAAAAAAAAATTATAATAGAATTATATTAGATCACAAAACAACCTGAAAGAACATGCTGAAAGGGTGATTTCTGAACAGAAACAAAAATGATGGTCTCTCAAAGAACAAAAGAGAATGATCTCAGAATGACCAAAAGAAGCTGCTAAAGACATTTTGGAGGATATATAAAAGACAGAAAGAAGAGGACCGATTACAGAGGTTCGGTCGGTTTGTTCGCTGAGGAGTAAATATGGTGTTTGAACTGCTCAACTACTGTTTGTATATTAGTGATGTTGTACAGACAGTGTTTCATGTACATGTAGCAATGTAGCTATATAATGCTTCCAAATGTAAATAATTAGCAAAACAACCCCTACCAGTTTAAAAAATGATATTGGTTCAATGTCATCTTTTTTCTTTTCTTTGGTTCCTTGTTCAGAAAATTTCCTGAAAGGAAACAAATTAAATAATTAGGTAAATTCTATCGAAAATAATCAATCAATATGGTAAAATAGAAGTGCAATATAAAAGTGAAGCACCAGCATTCTATTTCCAAAATATAATTTCATTTTATTTTATTTCAAATTAAATGTATTATGGTAAAACTACAACATGCATTCTTGCCAGTAGCCATTTGAAGGATGTGGAAGATGTGGCCTACATCAAAGTTCTTTCCATGCATTTAAGTCACTTGGCAAATTCATTAGAACCTCATGAATACATACTAACTAACTAACTAACTAACTAACTAACTGTCTCTGGAAATGCACTTTGCCTGCTGCTATGTAATTAAGAAAACTGGAACAATTCTGTTTTAAATGCTCTTTGTTTTCATAAAGTTGTACTTTAGCATATTATTACACTAATATCACCTTTTGCAGGGGCACACGGTAGTGTAGTTGGTTGAGGCACTATGCTACAAGCTGGAAGGTCACAAGTTCGAGTCCAGATCAGATCACTGGTTTTTTTCGATTTACCTAATCCTTCCAGCAGCACTATGGCCATTGGGTCAACTCAGCCTCTAACAGAAATGAGTACCAGGAATTTTCCTGGGGGGGGGTTTGAAGGGTGGCAGGCGCATAAGGCTGATAACCTTACTGGCATCTGTGAGCTGATTGTATACATAATGTGGGACCCTCGATATCTCACAACCCTATGGGCCTTCACGGCCTGTTATAGGGATAGCTTTACCTTTTATACCTCACCTTTCACATGTTTCACCACCGCATTAAATGCATCGTTTATTTTTGTCTTATAATAAGATTATGCAAAACAAAAAATAATTTGCTGTAGTGTTATCTTATTGTAAGTCACATATCAATACAATGTTATTTTTAACTAACATTTTTAAATGTTCATAAAATTCTGGTAAATGCTAATTTCAGCTGCGCTACATTGGTCAAGCATGGGTGTTTTGTCTGTTGCAGCTGTGTATAGGCATTGCTCCTTGTTGAGTAGGTCAGTTCTGTACATGCAGAAATAATCTCTTTCACATGCAACATGTTGAGATGACAGTGCAACCATTTTAGCGAAAGTGCCTACATTTGATGATGGCTGTATAAGGCCAAAAAAATACACCTATTGTAATAAGACGTATGCAAGGCAAAAGTGAATGATGCATTAAGATGGCAGTGACACATACACAGTAAAGGTTCTTTGTTTTGCTCAAATGAAAATTTTACTTTAAGAATGTTATGCTACTTTCACAGTATGTCTTTGCCTCTAATTTGTATCTGAATTTGTGGTGCTGTGAGTCACATTATAACAGGATTTTAAGATATGTTAAATGAATAACTGGAAAATTATGACATAATTTTAAATTCCCAATATTGATGACCATTAAGAGACACTGCTTCATTTAAATATACTCACACTTCTAATGGATCCATTTTATGTAAGCTCAGGTCATCTTCACCCAGAGATTCAATTCTTATTGCTGATGTGTTGTTACCATCTTCCACTCTTCCTTCCTGCCTCTGATTTGTATCTGAATTTGTGGTGCTGTGAGTCACATGATAACAGGATTTTAGGATATGTTAAATGAATAACTGGAAAATTATGACATAATTTTAAATTCCCAATATTGATGACCATTAAGAGACACTGCTTCATTTAAATATACTCACACTTCTAATGGATCCATTTTATGTAAACTCAGGTCATCTTCACCCAGAGATTCAATTCTTATTGCTGATGTGTTGCTACCATCTTCCACTCTTCCTTCCTGCCTCTGATTTGTATCTGAATTTGTGGTGCTGTGAGTCACATGATAACAGGATTTTAGGATATGTTAAATGAATAACTGGAAAATTATGACATAATTTTAAATTCCCAATATTGATGACCATTAAGAGACACTGCTTCATTTAAATATACTCACACTTCTAATGGATCCATTTTATGTAAACTCAGGTCATCTTCACCCAGAGATTCAATTCTTATTGCTGATGTGTTGCTACCATCTTCCACTCTTCCTTCCTGCTTCATCCTCCTCTGTCAATGAATGCTTTGATCAATGACATACAGCTGTGAATGAGGAACATACTCGTACATGTGACTGACACTGTAATGAAATTATTATATCAAATGTTATGTTGATGTCGAGGGAAATGGGAGACCTGCTTTGTATTTGGGAGGTCTTGCTTTTGAACATTTATCTGCAGATCAGCTATTCTGACATAGGTTTTTACGCTATCCCTCAGGCCCTCCAGCCAAATGGCAGAACAGTACCTTAAAACAGGATGCTTCCTACCTCATCATTTCTAATTTGTCATTCATAGTAATCATAAAATTGTATTCTTTATAATCTATGCAACTGAAAATGTGTAAGTTAATATTCCACTTGCAAATCTATCAAGTTATCAGGCTGTATAAAATTATGAGTGGAGCAGATGCCAATAACTGCTCAGGATATAGAACCACAACAATGATGACAACCGGTCTTCATAGCTATATTCTATGAATCTCAGCATGAACCTTCATTCTGTATTTAAGCGTCCTGTTGCAAGCCATATTAAAACATCTATGTATAACTCAGTCCATCAATAATACAACAAATTGTTCCACTAATGTAGGCACTACTGAAGACAACACCACACGCTACTAGAGAGAACAACGCACAAGCAAGGGGCATACTGCAGATGTATCAGAACAATGGGCTAATGAACATAAAAAACAGGCTGCTGCAATAAAACACATGGAGATAAACATATAGTTCTTAACAAGTGGACGACAACCCTTGTGAGGTGGAACAGAATTTGACAAAAAGTAACGAAAATTTTAATGGATCTTATTTTATTTTATTATTTGGACTACAGCATGTGATTTTAGCGCATATTAATGCAGTGTAGCACTTTTAATATATTGAGACACCTGAAGATGGCCATCTAGGGCTGAAACATTATTGAAGTGTAAGTGGAAGAAAAAGGTATAATTTGTTGCATTATTGACAGACTGTGTAATACATGGACGTTTTAATGAACCTTCGTGTTAATATAAGCCATTTTTCCCATCAAGTAGGAACGGTTCACTGTCTAGAGATTAGAGCTAGAAGAGTCACCACAGTTATCAGGAAGAAGGTTTAGAGTTGTGCTCCAGTCTATAGTATACAGAACTTCCTAATGCATTCTTTGTGAATTAGTATCCTCCATTAGTCCGTTTATTCTGGATCACTGATGGAGCTAGTTAACACCAGAGATATTACATTGCATGTAGCAGTAAATTCTTCAGTGCTAACAGAGTTAATCAACTGCGATATTACAATGCACATTATTTTCCTCGTTACATATTCACCATACTCAAATGAATGTTTGAAATAAAAGTTATAAATATGTCTCTCTGTTGTGACTATGAAGATAACTGCTTTCTGGAAAGTGCCACAGTATAGTCTGTTAGATGTTTACTGGTGTTTGGGAGGAATGTGCTGCCCCATGAGGGATGTTCTGAAGATGAGGTGACACATTTTCTTCAAAACATCTGTAAGCATCTACCAGACTAATGACATCACATAATCTTCAAAAGTTATAAATCTTGTAGCGATACATAGCTTATACAAAATATCGACACAAGGAGCCATATCTAAGAAGTTTCAAAAAACATGATTTGAACATCAGGAGTTACAGTCAACCAATAATAGGGAAAAATAAAATGAAACTAAAACGTTTAGTGCAGACCTTCAATATAAAACTCCATTAAAAATGTATGAAATAGTGTGGAAGGCGAAACGTGCAGCTGGATGAACGGACAACCCTCACTATTATGTGTTTAAGTATAGTGGTATAAACATACAGGAATGCAAGATTTGACACTTTTGTGATCCAAAAATTAAATGAAGATAAGTTTCGCTTGTTATCAAAGGTGTGTATGTTGGAATATGCCAATGAAGTACGTTTGCTTGTTCTGTACCAAGAATGTACCCAAAATTTCCACAACACCTTCTTCTCTGACAGATGTCAGCTCTTCCAATGAAAGCGCATTTTTTAATTTATGCTGATGTTACTAAAACCTTTACTGAACAAGAATAAATCTCCCAGCACTTTGTGGTTGGCAGCTAGATTTTAGCTCAGGGAACATATTATTCTTACAGAAAATATACAGAGATCAGTGAGATCATCTTCATATGTACACATGTACAACATAGCGATATGTGACCAGAACATGTGAATAAATCAGAATTACTCTCAGACAGAGCACATGCATTCCATAGATCTTGGTTACTTTGGACACAGAACATCCAGTTTATTTTGTAACTTAAAAATAAAAAGTGATTGGGGAACCTTGGTTCCCAGGTTTAATGTTGAAAAAGTAATTAAATCGGGATTTGTACTGGAATAAATCTATTTTCTACATTATAATGACAGCTTTATTGAAACATTTCTGGAGTTTTGCGTTTTCTGTAATTACGCATATATTCGATGCATAAGTTTTTGTGTGTTTCTCTATATGCACGCTCTTGTTCAGCATTTAACTTTGTTCATTTGGGTACGTTATTGCAGTTATGTTCCACCTGATTCCTTTTCCTGTACACTCTCACACATGCAGCATGACTGTTACCAGCGGACATCTTAAGTGAGTGACGTTATACACTGCCAGCTTGCCTATAGCATTGCGTCATATACTAAACAGTACAACTGAATTAGCCATATACCTCGCATTTATTACCAAAGTCAAAGTCACATTGTGACTGACAGTCGGTCAGTCAGTCAGTCAGTCAGTCAGTCAGTAAGTCTTAGTACTGAGCCCCATTTGGGACTCATGACCAGATATTTATTGTAGTTTGACAGTTACGGTCTTGCCTTTGTGGGGCACCCTCTCTGACGACAGGATGGGTCTGTCTTTTGTAAGAGCAGTCTTTCTCGGGTCCGAGTCCCTTAGAACTCACTACCATATTTTACTGTCTCAGATTTGAGACTCATCTTTTCGTCGCCTTCTCATTGACTTTTCGCATTTATTACCAAAGTCAAAGTCACATTGCGACTGATGGCCACTCATATTTATAAGGTTCCAGCACTAAGGGCAGAGAAAACACCGTTTCCATGGTTTTCCCGTTTCCTCTATTGTTCCGTGTTGATTCATTGACGTGGTAAGGTGTTAAGTTGCCGTTGCCTAGAAATGCATCAATAATTACAAATTGTTACAGACTTCGTTACTTACGTTAAAAATTCTGTTGAATGAACGCATGTACTATAACAGGTTGGCCTTCTAAAAAAAATTCTGTTATTCTGTTATTGTCTCATTCCATTTGTATCCTCAGTCTTCAGCCACCTGCTCACGCTGGATCCTCGCTCGCGGATTTTTCTACCCTGAAGATGGAGGCGATACGTTCCTCCGAAACGTCGGTTCACACAAGATCTACACGGCGCCATATCCCAAAAGAAGGCAGTCTTCAGTTTAATGTTGTCCACCCAGCTACGTCTTGGTCTTCCTTGTGGTCTCTTTCCTTCTGGCTTTCCCACCAATATCCTATATTCATTCCTCTTCCACCCATGCCTGCTACATGACATGCCGATCTCATCCTCGACTTTATCATTTTAATTATACTTGGTGAAGAGTACAAGTTAAGCAGCTCCTCATTATGCACTTTTCACCAACCTCCCGTCACTTCGTCTCTCTTCGGTCCAAATATTCTCCTCAACACTCTGTTCTCAAACACCCTCAGTCTATGTTCCTCCCTTAATATCCGACACCAAGTTTCACACCCATACGTACAAATGTAATAAATACATAAATTGCAATTAGGAATCTCGATCTTTTTAACGTTGAAAACGATAATTTACGAGGGTACAGTAAGTGATAGCAGGTCACGGTAGCCGAGCGGTCTAAGGCATGTACTGTCTTCGTTCCCTTGGAAACCGAGATCGTGGGTTCGAATCCCACTCAGGGCATGGATGTTTAGTTTGTGTGTGTGCTTTTTTCTGTGTCTGTATATAGGTAGAGGCCTTGCGACGAGCTGATCACCCGCCCAAGGAGTCCTACCGAATGTGTAAGATCGAGAAAAACCGAAGTGAACGGAGAAGTTCATGGAGGTAGGCCTAGGCCCACTGGGGCTGTAGTGCCAAGGAAAAAATGAAGTAAGTGACAATGTCCCCTGGTAATAGTCGTGCTGCGTATGTGACAGTGTATAGGAAGAGGAAGCAGTCAGAAGCAGATAATTGTAATAATGTACCCAAATAAACAAAGTTAAATGCCGAACTACAGCGTGAATATAGAGAAACACAGGCAACGGCAATTTAACACCTTATCGCGTCAATGAATCAATGTAATTGTAAAGGCGCGNCTGGCGAGCACGAGCAAGAGTAATGTGGACGCGCCTTAATGTACAAAGTAGATTTATTCCAGTACAAATCCCAATTTCATTACGTCTTCAACGTTAAACCTGGGAACCAAGGTTCCCCAGTCATTTTTTTCTTTCTGTTAAGTGTGTTTGTGAAGTGCGCACGAATATACGAGTACCTGATACCATTAACTTCCATCCAGCTTCAACAACAGGTATTATACATTGTTTTACGTGTAATTTAGGCCTACAGCACGTAGGAAAGCTATCAGGTCTCACTACTCAGTGAACGCTAGTCCATGATGAATCTTTAATCTCTTTTAGAGTTTCTTAATCACACATTCGGTACGACTCCTTGGGCGGGGATCAGTCCGTCGCAAGGTCGCTACCTATACTGGACAACGCAATGCCTCGAGTGGGACTCGAAACCACGATACAGTGTTTGAGCGCCCGAAGACAGCTCATGCCTTAGACCGTACGGCCACTGTGATCGGCTAGGTCTTACTATGAAGGTAAATATATGAATTAAGACCTTAAAAGTCCGATATGAGAATGGCATATCATACTTTGGCGTGTTGGTGACTAGACATGGAGGTTTGAATTGAATATAAACTTTACTGAATGATTATGCGTAAGTACAAAGAGTTATAGCACTTTCACTAACATACATACCTTACAAACTAAAAGGCACTCCAGATTTCCCCAGTCTGCTGTCTTCTTTGATCGTTGCTTAGTAGTGCTTCTAACAATGGAAATTCCTCTGCTTACGTGCTCAGCTGTGGTCCTTGTTATGAATACGACTTCGGCAAAATCCATATAGAAACACTGTTTCCAACATTTCATTTATTGTTGAGTGAGTATCCGCTGCAGCGGGAATGTGATTAACAAGTCGTAGCCTAGCAACAGATGTCTTCTCTCAATAATTCCGGCTTTCNTCATATAGAAACACTGTTTCCAACATTTCATTTATTGTTGACAGGTCGTAGCCTAGCAACAGATGTCTTCTCTCAATAATTCCGGCTTTCGGGTATCACGTAGAAATACTTTTAAATGTGCTTTATGGTTTATACACATTTCACTTTCCAGTCACTTGACGGGATAAAAAACGGCAACATAACCGACAGTTCCTAATTATTCAGAAATAAATTCAAGTATATATGAACTATCCATAGTGCATATTTTAATACGTACAGCCGCTGCTATGCAATAGGCGACTATACAGTGATCGTTTCTGAGCAACGGCTCGGTAAAAACGCTCCAGCGGAAACGAATACGCATGTAACAGTAGACTTTCTGTGGAAACGGGGTGTTTTCCATGTGGTCCGTGCTGAGATGTTATGAGCAGGACAGTTTGAAGCAACCCAGTGCTGCAGAAGGCAGGCAGATGTCATCCTAAATCATGAAAATCCAAATGTACGGGCAATTGGATAAGGAGAAGCCAGACATACGAAATTCAAGAGGCTTAAACTTGGCGGCGGTCAAGCCTACGACCGTTCAAGTGTCTAACTGCCGTTTCGGAGTGTTAAATAAACTGATGCATAGGCTGCACATTGCTGCACTGATAGATTCCCTCTACATATTAGAATTTAATTCCAGTTTCTACTTGTGAAGAGTAAAAGAAGAACGTATATATCACATATTAACCCCTGTGAGAACAATGTGACCTCTGGTGGAATAAGGTGTAGAAAGTGAACATCAATTAAAAAAAAAGACCAACCCCTCCTTTTTATCATTAAAAAGGACCAAAGAAGAGAGAGAGAAAAAAAAACAAAGGTCTAGACACTAAACCAAAATATGGCATGGGTCCCAGCACGGACCGATGCCAGGAGTGACCGTGCCGGCTGATTGCCGGCAGTAAGCTTCTGCTCTGCTCAACTCAGTGCCTCAATGCATCACAGAGAGCTTGAATACCACGATGACGGGGGGACTATTTTCTTAACAGCTACGATCACATTCACCAAATTATCAAATTTTTATTGTTTTTCCCTTTCAAATTCATCATCTAATTATAATCCCCATCTTTTCTCATCACATCCTACAAAGTCTGACTCTAGAAATAACACAGAAACAGATGAAGCAGCAGTGAAATTCTTGCGGTAAATATCCAAATCAAAATTTGTGTAATTGCTCAAGCAATAAAGAAAACAAGTTTATCACTTTTCTCCACATCCTCACTCAATTTATAAATACGACTGTCTTCTTATACTTGTTTTGTTATATTCTCCCATTTCTCGCTTCTTTTGTTATACTTTTCGGTATCGGGAGGGAAATAGCGAAGTCTGAAACTCCACACTTTTAGGGGAATCACCGGCAGCCAAAAGTCTTACGTAACTGTTTACTTGGTAAACGTACATACGGGAATTGCTTTCCTTGTGTTATTATCCATCGTCTCAATCCTACGCCTAATTTTATTCTAAGTCAGTATGTCAAATCCTCGTACACTTCTGAAAAAAAGTAGTATATGCCGATCACTACACTGAGCTAAATTTGCATGACGTGCTCTAACCCGCATTCATGTTTCCCTTCTCCTGTGTGTAGTACCGTGTAAGAAGCAGCTCAAACTGACAAACCCACGGCCATGAACTTTAAAAAATAAAAATTAACGTTTGAAAGGGATGTCTAGTACTCGATACGGTGACCAATCTACTGCAGTGCAAATTAAGATTGTCATGCGTGCCGAAGTTCCTCCACATTGCCGACAACACCGCGTAAACTAATTGTCATTACAACAGATTTCCATCAACATTCTGGCAATAACCAACAATAAAATCGCCAAATTTCTCACCTGAAGCTGATAAATGTTTGCTCCAAGAGTAAGTAAGTAAGTCGAAGCTTTTCCGAACTTAACTGGAACTTGAAGTGGCAAAGACAAAAAAAAAAAGAGATGGTATTCATAATGGAGCCGGTCACGGTAGCCGAGCGGTCTAAGGCATGTACTGTCTTCGCTCGCTTGGAAACCGGGATCGTGGGTTCGAATCCCACTCAGGGCATGGATGTTTGTGTGCGTTTTTCTGTGTTTGTCTACAGGTAGAGGCCTTGCGACGAGCTGATCACCCGCCCAAGGAGTCCTACCGAAGTGAACGGAGAAGCTCATGGAGGTAGGCCTAGGCCCACTGGGGCTCTTGTGCCAAGGAAAAATAAAAATTCATAACGGAAGAAGTGGATGTGACACATTAAATAAGAGATGGATTGGGTGATATAAAATGTCTGGGTCTCCGGGTTAAAACATGCTAAAATCTGTAAGAAATGGATTTCTAAAAAGAAATTGGATAGATGAAATGTTCGTGTCAATAATTATAAATTTTCGAGACAGCGACGACGACAAATTTGTCATTAGTTGTTCCTCTCGATTAAGAAGGAACTGTGTGTTTCATTAATCTGGTTTACACAAGTTTTAAGTTCACCTATTGCTGTAAAGGTAAAATTGTCCCTGTGCTTAACTAAGCACTAAGCATGAATACATGTTGGAGAGTGGTGGTATAGCTCCACCATTTTTGACCTCGACACTAAATGGAGGTGAATGGTCAGCTTCATGTTTCTTCCGCTTTATCCCCGGGGTAGCAGCCCATTGGATAGGAGGCTGGGTGGGCCCCAGAGCCGGTCTGAACGTTATAAAGGAGAAAAAAACTTGCTCCCACCGGGAATCGAACCCCGACCGTCCGTCGTTATTGCTATACAGGTTTTCCTCCCACAGACGTTAGGTGGTAGAGTGCTGGCAACGCGGCGGTAGCTTACCATGCGTCACGGGTTAGGAATCCATGCAGAGAGACGTGAGATTCGCAGTTCTCTTGGCGGTAACTATGAAGAGTATTCGGAAGTCTGGGTGAAGTTAACAGATATTTCGGAGTAACGTACTGCCTCCATCTTCAAAGACTATGAGTAGCAGACAGTAAGTTTGTAACACTTCGTCACCATATTACCTGGTGCTGGAATGACTTTTGTTTTATCTGATAAGAAAAGCGAAAAGTTTAAATATGTAAGAACATCCACACACAGCGATGTGTAAAGCCTATCCCAGTGGAGCGACGCCCTGCAGATACTGCTAGACGACACATTGTAAGAGCAGACATGCATTGTGACGTCAGAGATTGCCTGGGGTCACAAAGTAACGGGATTGGCGGATTATGCTCGTTCGTGGGCCGCTCTCGTTCCCGTTGTTGTGCATGGATCGGAGATGTTGTGGACTTCTTTGTGAAAGTCAGTGTTTCAATATGGAAGCTCGCAGAATGACAGTGTTTGTTTTGCTGTTGCTGGCTTTGATTTCCGTATTGGCGGATGTCGTCGCTTTTCGAGGCGGTAAGTTTTTTTCATAGCAACATCTGTCGATTCCAATGGCATCTGCCTTTACAGTCTTGACCGGTTCGTTGACAGCAAGATGTGATGGCCTGGATGTTTTGTTGGCAAATTATTATTTCTGCCGGTGTGTGCGCGTGGATATTTTGAAGTGACAGTTGTCACAGTTGTATTTGGGTAAGCCGTACTACGCCACGAAGGCGGTTAAGGGGAGTGGAGATAAGATCCACCCACCTAGAAAATACGTAAAGGTAAAAAAAATATATATAGTTGTCTCTGTGCTTAACTAATTAAGCAGGATGAGTGGATGTACAGATCCACGTATTCTTGACCTCAGAATTACTTGGAGGTGAGTGGTCAGCTTCACGCCTTGGTCACTTTAAGAGCACCCAATACCCATTGGATAGGAGGCTGGATGTACCCCAGAACCGGTCTGGACGACTTGGAATAGGAAAAAACTTGCCCCTACCTGGACTCCCGACACCTCGGCCGCCCATCGCTATCCCGGCTCCCGACCTGGGAACTAGACAAAGAATTCGCAGTGCTTCGTGCCCATGAAGATACGACTTCGATTCTCGGTCCGTAGACCGGAACAGAAAATCTGTTAGAAAATTAAGAAAGAAATTTTAGATTGCGTACATGGTCAACTTCACGGTCGGGCTACTTTTCCCTGAGGAAAGAACCACTAGGTATTCGTTGAATAGGTAATTGGGGTGTGGCGTGGCAAAAAGAAAGAGAACCTGAGTCGCCTGTATCCTGAATGTTTTGTTGTGGGGGATGGGAACAAATAATTGACACAAATGGAGTAAGATAGGGAGAACCTCGAGAAAACTAGTCGTAAGTTTACATACTATGGGGTTTTGTGCTTAGCCTCGGTGCCGACCTTGCGGCAGGGTTGGTTACAGATATTTCCTAACAGCAGATAAAATTGGGTATGTGGCGGGACGCCGATGCAGACAGTGTGTGATACAGGTGAGGAACGGAAGCACGCTTGGAAAGCATATGCATTTCCTGCATGATGCAGCCCGAGTTGTAATAAATAGTCAAATAAATATGGTTGTAAGATTTATAAATACGGGGGCATACTGAAGTCGAGTACTAACTCGATGGCAATTCGATAAATCGCCTTTAGACTTGATACTGAATCAGTTTGATTCAATTCACAACCTCGAAACCCATTTCCCTAAGGTTAATTTTAATATTGCGACATGTAAACGCATTGCAAGGCAACGGCTCGATAAACACCGCGTGATACACGCATGCAACAACAGGACAAATGTTTATAGCTCGTTGCTAGGCAACAATCAGCGCCTCAATGACCTCGCTGGGTAGGAATGACGTGACGTGTTTTCTGTAGGTCTGCGCCGAAAGTTTATAGGGGACAACAAAAGTCGTTTGCGGGCAGTCGTAAGCTGGAGGAGTGAGTAGCAGACGGATTTTAGTTGAATTCCGAGGTTCCAGTGTGACTGAACAAGAAATGGCAAGAACACTTCACAGTGATTTGAAGTGCTAGTTTCTGTGTCGAGATCCGTTGCTAGGATATGAGTAGTGGAAACTTAGAATCCTCGTGCAACGGTGAACTGATTGTGTAAATGAGCGATAGTGCTGTATTAAGCGTGATTAAGAGAACTTGTAACCAAGGTGATAATAAATCCAATCATTCGATTTAGAACCCGTTATTTTAATCAAGCGTAGCTAATGGCATTCGTAGTCAGCTGCCCATAAGAACACCCTTTTCAGACTTCCCGCTTACGACTTACTTTGCAACATGTTTCCTCAATAAAATTTTGTAAGAAGTTTTTGTTGCATCAGAACATGTACAGCCCTGTGTAATTGCATTTAACTGCCGTATAATAGGTACTGGATGAGCTATATATATTATGAAGTACACTGTTATGCAGTTTTCTGGATTCCCCACTTAATGCCTTAAGGGTAAAATAAAGAATGGGGAAATCCAACCTTTGGGTTAGTATTAAAAAATTGTGCTTCATTTATGCATGAGTCAATCCGCTGTTTTGGTATATGCAGTGTGTGATAAACTAAGAGGAGATATCAAGATGGAAGGACTATAAAAATGTTGGCCAATGCTTTTGATAGTACTCAGTCACTAGGTAGTTTGTTGCATCAGCAATTTTCCCGAAACCACAGACATGTATTAAACTGGTTCGGGGTACAAGCCAGTTGTGTGCTTCTTGTAAACACAATTTTGTAGATTCGGGTCCCATATAAGGCGGGGAATTCCTCGACTAACTGACGAACATTTGGGTCCTTGGAATGAGTTAACAGACATATCGTATCTCGTTTACGGACCCCCCCCCTCCATAACGTTTATTCGAGACATTTAATTTTCAGGCGCATGCTCCGCAAGACACCCCCAAATATGCGTTTAGGTCTACAAGCCATCTGTGGCGTAAAACGAATGACAGCGAATCAGAAACATGGCGATACTCATAAACCTAAGCACAGCATATGAAGCTTCGTGAAATTCTGCCAAACGAGTCATATAAGTACCCTCTGAAGTTCAAAGACGTCCTTTAGTAGAGTGACCCTTAACATGACTTAGAGTGAATGAAAATTGCACATCGTAATACTCGAAAGTATTACTGCACGGTGATCTCATAAGCCTAATTTCATTTCTTCAAAATAAGGTAAGTAGGCTAAAAATTGGGGAGGGCAAATATTACGTTTTCAAAACTTATGTTACACGTACATTTTACCCACACGAAATTTGTGTTTGTTTGGCAATGTTTGTATTACTGATAGTTAGAAATAGGGAAATACCGAAGTTCTGGGAAGAACTAATCGCCTCTTTTCCTTCATACGACACGGACCATTCTATTGTTGCGTATTAATTGCCACGATGTTTTCATAGAGCCGTTGCCTAGCAAAGATAACGGATACACATATAGACACACAGATTGATGGGATGGATTTATGTCGTC